AAGCTTGTAGGAAGTTGACTGTGTACTATTAGAATCTATACAAATCCATTACCATCATTATTTTTATTCTTTATGAATACATATATGTAAACTTGTATTGTCACCATAGCAGCTTATTATTGTCAGTGTGTAAGGATCAGTCCCTGTCAGACCTTAAAATCACTTCTCCTCTTTCCTTTTACATACATGAGTGATTTGATTGTTTTACATGCGTGTGTAGGTAAGCTACTGGATGTGTATCTAAACAATAAAGTACAATTGTATCTAACATAGTAACTTACACAGTCAACAACTCCATATTACAGCTTAGCTTACTAACGTTAATTACCTCTGGCTGCTGAAAGCTCGCAGAAACTGGCAAGGCGTCCATTCCTACGTTCAATGGCGTGGATAAAACCTCCGATACAGGTACTGTATCCCTTAATTAACACAGCCCGGGGGATGTTTCAGTCACTGGCACTTTGCTTCACATTTTGCATCGTTAATTCGGGCAGACAGGAATGATTGGTGGTCCGCATTGCGAGTTTTCATTGCTGGTGCTGCTGCGTCGCATGCATCCTTCCGGGTGAGTGTACCCCTCAGCGGCGTTCCATTTTCAAAATGGCCGCCAAGTGAATAAGGCGAAAAGTGTGTGTTTTCTGCTCACTTAGTTTAAACTGTAAAAGTGCCCGCGGTCCGGAACCGGAACATCATCCTGTCATGAAAGTTTAGATCTGAGCAACAGACACAACATGTCTGAACACATTAGATGTGTGTGTGTGTGTGTGTGTGTGTGTGTGTGTGTGTTCATTGTGACAGCTGAAGCAGCTAAACAGCAAACACACATGACATTCCTTTCTGCCTAACACCCTCTGACTGTGTGTGTGTGTGTGTGTGTGTGTGTGTGTGTTAGGGGTGGGCGATCTTCACTAAATTTTGTATCACGATCTTGTAACTTTTTATAACACGATTGTTTAATCTTATAAAAAAATCATGACCCACGATCTAAATAATATATATATATATATATATATATATTATAGAATTATTATATATTTCCACTGTTTAAATCACAGTATTGCATTAAACCATCAAACTATCAATAAACTATTTGAAGACCGATATCTTAAAAGAGCATACTGGCTGAAATAAAACAAAAATATAATATGAAAATGAATAAATTAAACCGACTTACTTTACATGTACCTTCTTGATTCTGTAATCATATTACTGTATTTTTCATGGAAAAAATATGAATAAAAAAAGCAAGATTTTTGACGATAATCAGCTAATGAAAGTGAACGTGAGCTCTGTGTGCAAACGAGGACGTCAAGATCAATCACGATATAAAGTCGTCGGATGGTATGTTGATCTGACAGTGTGATCTTTAACTTTGGGGATGATCTCGTCATGATTGACTGTGTTTGATCTTCACTCATGCAGACACACACTGTTGTTGTATATTAGCATAATCTGCTGCTGATTGGCTGAGGGGCGTCTCTAAGCCCCGCCCTCTAATGCTAGGGCGTCTGACACTGGGAGAGTTCGGCTCGTGTCGAGGAGACGGGCAAACCCACGCCATCGTCACTGTTCGTATCACTGTGATCAGATATGATAATGAGCGTTTGCTGCTGACCAATCACAGCAGAGCAGCCCTCAGAGACGCGGGGCTTAGAGAGACTGAGTCTTCACAGAAGCGTTTCAGACACAGAGCTGGTGTGAAGATCACGAGGACGTGAGTGTGTGTTGAGCGTGGATGAGTGTGTTTCAGGAAACAGCATTAGGAGCCGTTAAAACCGTATAATGGAGCACTTTAACTTATTCAGATAACCTGTTAACCAATGAAACCTTATTTTTTACCAAAACATTTATTTTCGTCTGAGATATTACAATAGTAATATTTCCTGGTATTGTTCTTCTGTTCTAGCGAGATCTCAGGCTTATGAAATCTCCTTATATATTTTTAGGTTGTGATTTGTGTGACTGACATGTACAAGAGTTTAAAACAGCGCTGTTGGCATGGCAACACACACACACACACACACACACACACACACACACACACACAGCTGGAATGTGTTAAAGCACACACACGCACACAGAGGGAAATGAGCGGAGAACACACTACTGGAAAGTGTCTTTATGGATTTATATACGTATGGAACAAACATTTGTCAAAATCCAGAGTATGTATCCCACAATGCAACACATTTGAACTGGAATTGACAACTTGGCACATTAAACGTACAGCAGTGTTGTTGCATATACAAACTGAACACTGAGACGTCAGCTCTCGACAGCTGCTGTTTCTGAGACTTTAATTTGATTAGCAGAGGCACATTTCTGAACTCTGACGTCTGATTGGCCAGGAGAGACCTTGTGACCTGTGTGTGATCCCTGATTGGCTGTTGTCTTGTGTTTCAGCATGGCCGCCTCAGTGAAGGTAGCAGTGAGAGTTCGACCCTTCAACTCACGAGAAAACAGCCGAGATGCTAAATGCATCATACAGATGCAGGGAAACACCACCTGTGAGCACACACACACACACACACACACACACACACATACACACACACACACACACACACACACACACACACACACACACACACACACACACACACACACACACACACACACACACACACACACACACACACACACACACACACACACACATTCACTCACTCACACACTCACACACACACACACACTCACACACACACACACACACACACACGCATGTATGTGAGCACATGTTTGTCAGTGTGTTGTTCTGTCCTCAGGCATCTGGAACCCCAAACTGCCCAAAGAAGCGGCCAAGAACTTCAGCTTCGACTACTCCTACTGGTCTCACACTACGGTACGATCCTGCGGTGTGTGTGTGTGCGTGTGTGTGCTGTCGCCTGAGGCTCTGAACTCACTGTCCCGTGCGTGTGTGTGTGTGTGTGCAGGAGGATGACCCTGCGTTCGCGTCCCAGCGGCGAGTGTATCTGGACATCGGGGAGGAGATGTTGCTTCACGCGTTCGAGGGATATAACGTCTGCATATTCGCCTACGGCCAGACGGGAGCGGGGAAATCCTACAGCATGATGGGAAAACAAGAGCCTGGACAACAGGGCATCATCCCTCAGGTGCACACACACACACACACACACACACACACTGTAATCCATAACACAGTGTATATGGAGAACCGTTTCTTGTGTGTGTGTTTCATGAGTGTGTGTCGGTCTCTCTGCAGATGTGTGAGGATCTGTTCCAGCGCACGAGTGAGAACACCGACCCGGAGCTGTCCTACTCCGTAGAGGTGTGTGTGTGTGTGTGTGTGTCAGCTTTACAAGTTTCCTACGCCCCATGAGGCCTTGCGTCAAAAGTGGGCGCGACTTCCGGTTGGAAGTAAACAAAGCGCGATTTGACGTACTTCACACTCTTTCATTCAACAGTTGACAGTCATTCAAGTTATAGCGATCCAAACTAGCTAACGATGTGGGAACACAACCTCAACCAAATTAAAAAGGGTGAATAACAGTACCTTTACCCTCAGCAGTAGTTGATTGGGAGTATTATAATAACATTATTAATAATCAATACTCATCAAGGCATGGTGTCAGACAGTTGTGCGAGCTGACAAACAATTAAAATAAAAAATACACACTTAGTCATTGTGCTTTGGAGTTTATTCAAAATTATAAATGAATGTGCTGCTTGAATACATTACTGGCACATTTGGTATTCTGTCAACACCGGCTTTGATCCTGAGTTTAGGTGTAACATCAGTAGAAAACAGCCAATCACATGCTGAGAGAGTTTATAGAATATTAAGAATTTAAACAAATGTACACAGGAAGATTCGTCGTCTTTTGGGAGGTTGATGGAAACTACAGTCGTTGGCAGGATCAGAGACGGGCTCTGACAGGATCACTCTGATTTCGTTTTCAGCTTATGTTCAAAACAATCACGTTTAAGCCACTAAATTAGTTTAGTCCGGTTATACATACAACCGCGAACAGCACATGTTGTCCCTGAGCTCCGTAACGACATCTCTCATAAAGATTTGCGTCTTTAAATAGTAAAATAATTCTCCGAAAAACAGCTAGCCTCTTCGCTAACTAACACACAAAATACCATCGGAATGCTACTTCCGCCGCGTCACCGGAAGTTTCACCCACTTTATTTTTTACAGGAGCGCCCCTCGGAAACTTGTGGATATAGATGATGACATCACACTGTAGAGCGTGTTAGCCGTCAGCAGCTACGTGTACATGCAACCAAATAACCCGTTAGTCATGGGATTGACGGGATCGCACTGAAAACCTTCGTGTAAACTCCTTAATCCATCGAATTGAAAGGGTCGGTTTATTCCTGTTCTAATCTGACCGAGAGAACGTGTGTGTGTGTGTGTGTGTGTGTGTGTGTGTGTGAACACTTGATGGGATCGAATCAGCGCTCATCTAAACACTGCATCAGATTCGTCAATCGAAGAGTTCAGTCTGATGGAAACACACGTGCATGTAAACCTCGCCGTGTTTGTGTGTGTGTGTGTGTGTTCAGGTGTCGTTTATGGAGATCTACTGCGAGCGCGTGCGAGATCTGCTGAACCCCAAGAGTAAAGGTGCGCTGCGGGTCCGAGAGCACCCCATCATGGGCCCGTACGTGGAGGACCTGTCCAAACTCGCTGTGACCTCCTACCAGGACATCAGAGACCTCATGGACTCGGGGAACAAGGCCCGGTGCGTGTCGTCCACATCTCCTCTGTTACTCCTGTGTTCAGATTAAACGTTCCTCAACGTGACTTTGATTGATTGATCAGGACGGTGGCGGCTACGAACATGAACGAGACGAGCAGTCGATCACACGCGGTCTTCACCATCGTCTTCACTCAGCACCGCCGAGATCAGCTGACCGGCCTCGACACGGAGAAGGTGTGTGTGTTGGTGAATAATATATCAATCTGGCGTGTGCGTGTGGTTTCTGTGTGTCACGTGTTCTGTGGCGTGTGCAGGTCAGTAAGGTGAGTCTGGTGGATCTGGCGGGCAGCGAGCGAGCGGATTCGTCTGGAGCTAAAGGCCTGAGGCTGAAGGTACGACACTGATGCTTTCATCCATATAGATGAGGCAGCATCTCCTTCACTCTCTCACACACACTCTGTCTGTTCTTCAGGAAGGCGCTAACATTAATAAATCTCTCACCACTCTGGGGAAGGTCATCTCCGCTCTGGCTGAAAATGTGAGTTAGTTCCTAAAATGATTAATCCGTCATCATGTACTGAATGCGCGGGGAGACAGAACTGCTCCGCCTTTAGCAGAATGACCTCTGACCGTCACTGTGACTGAATACTGGACTATCACACTGGTCATGTGGACAAACTGATGCTTTTGTTTTGTCATTCATTGTCATTATGTGGCAAAGAGCAGCGTGAGCTTTCTCCTGAACGTCTCCTTGATGTTGTACAGAAGAAACTCGTACGGCTTGTAAAGGGATGAGTGAGCTGTCATGCAGAAGCTGCTGATGTGTGTGTGCCTCAGACTCTTTAATGACTGTGTGTTTATATGTGATGAACAGCAAACCAGCAAAAGAAAGAAAACTGAGTTCATTCCGTACAGAGACTCAGTGCTCACCTGGATCCTGAAGGAGAACCTGGGTAAGACACACACACACACACACACTGACCTCTAAACATGAAACACACAAACACACACAACTTTCTGCAATTTTACATTTTCCAAAAAATATAATTTAGTGTTTTTTACCCCATTTCCCTCAATGTATCCATTGAGGGGATCCACAATGTAATATAAACCCATAAACACACACACACACACAGAAACAGCACTGATTATGAAGCGTGTGTGTTTCAGGTGGTAATTCTCGTACCGCTATGATTGCTGCTCTCAGTCCTGCAGATATTAACTATGAGGAAACACTCAGCACACTCAGGTACATCCATCCATCCATCAGTGGATGAACCATCTATCCCTGTGACTGTCACAGCTTGTGTGTGTGTGTGTGTGTGTGTAGATACGCTGACCGCGCAAAGCAGATCCGCTGTAATGCTGTAATTAACGAGGATCCAAACGCTCGTCTGATCCGAGAACTGAAGGAAGAAGTGAACAGACTCCGAGACCTGCTGCTGTCACAAGGGCTGAGCCGACTGGTCACCGCTCCGGGTACACACACACACACACACACTGGATCGTTTTTGTTGTAAAAAGGTTATTAATTAATTTAGTTGATTTACCTGTAGTTATTCAGAAGTCAGATTGGACGGTAACGCTCTTTCTGTGTCTTTCAGCTGCTGAAGTCAATAACAACCGTGTTGACGTCACTCTTACGCCTGCTGATCCCGCCTCTAATGGAGCCCCGCCCACATCTGAGCCTGTCACCAGAGAAGGCCCCGCCCCTGAGAGTGACTCCGCCCCGCTGGATGGCCACACCCAATTAGAAGAGTTTCAGGGCGAGATGATAACCAATGAGGAAGCAGTGGAGAGACTGAAGGTATGAGAGGGCGGGGTTATGATGGTGGGCGGAGCATGACATAATCACACTCTGACTTTAACCAGTCAGCATCCTGCGTTCAAACACAAACCATTAGTGTGTGTGTGTGTGTGTGCAGGAAACAGAGAAGATCATCGCTGAGCTCAACGAGACGTGGGAGGAGAAACTACGGAAGACTGAGTCGATACGAATGGAAAGGTACAGCGCTCTGGGTTACACACACACACACACACACACACACACACAGGAACATGTGATCATCTGGGTTTGTGCAGGGAGTCGATTCTGGCAGAGATGGGTGTGTCCATTAAAGAGGATGGAGGAACTGTTGGAGTGTTTTCACCTAAAGGGGTCAGTCCACACACACACACACACACACACACACACACACACGACTGTATTACAGTTTTTTACAGTCGCTAGGACACATTTCTCAATACTTTTTCAAAACTCTTGAAACTTTTCTGTTTTCTGTTTCTTTACTGTCACTTTTTCAAAACTCTTCACACAGGTCTCCTAACCAGCTTTCAGCTCAGCACAGCAGTTAATTTCACATTCAAAATGCACTAAAACTACCAAAACACTTCATTCATTTCTCAAATCAACACATTCTTCCATAACACTAGCAAAGGTTGACAGCCAACAAACACACTTTGTCACCCACAAAACAATGACCTAAAGAACACTAACAACATGTAGCATTATACAATCTTTGTTTATAATTCACTACAATAGAGTTTACTGGAATGAATCAGACATGATGCAGAATGCTTCAATATATTTTATGTCTTTTATTTTTATTTTTTTGCACTGAGTAATTCCAAAATACAAGAATTTGTATACACACCATCCACTGATACAGGTACAATAGTAATGTTACAGTATTCTTCTTCCACCACGCATACGTATTCCTCGCCCCCTCCCAGCCCCTCTTCTTCCTCTTTCAGCCACTTCTCTGTTTCTGGCTGGGTCCATGTTTACATCACAATACAAAACTCTTCAGCAGTTGTCTCCTTTTGTAATGAAATAGAAAGAGTAACACCTGTGTAGATGTTGTTCATCTACAATGAGAATCAGTTGTGGTTTGGTCCAATTGTCCACTTATTTTTATAGCATTTAATTTTAAGATGCAAAATATATTTCATTAAAATATTACTGTAGAAATGTAGCAAATTGCTGTCTTATTCAGTTTTGTATTATGTTATTGTTTTGAACATAAGTTTAACAGTTTTGAAAACAGTGTGTAAGCATATGCAAATTGGCCTATAGGAACACAGAGTTTTGGCGGTTGTTGTGTCGAAGTGAGAAAAGAATTAATGTAATTTGAAAGATGTAGTCATTGAATGCATTTTGTGCCAAAGCAATGATAATTGATCCACAGTTTAGCCCACATATACTTCTGTTGTGCTCACTGTGTGAAGAGTTTTGAAAAAGTGACCTAAGTATTGAGAAATGTGTCCTAGCGACTGTAAAAAACTGTAATAGAAAACACTCAGTGTAGAGAGACTCACTTGTGTGTGTGTGTGTGTGTGTGTTTCAGACTCCGCACCTGGTGAACCTGAACGAGGATCCGCTGATGTCAGAGTGTCTGCTTTACTACATCAAAGAGGGCGTGACCAGGTGACCAATCAAACCATTACAGCCGTCAGCAGCTCGTAAACTGAGATGATGAATCATCTGTGCTGATATACAGTATTCATCTCTCTCTCTCTGTGTGTGTGTGTGTGTGTGTGTTTCTAGGGTTGGTCAAAAGGATGTGGACATTAAACTCAGTGGTCAGTTTATTAAAGAGCAGCACTGTGTGTTTTACAGCTACATCAACCACAATGGAGAAGGTAAGAGTGTGTGAGTGTGTGTGTGTGTGTGTGTGACTGTTTGTGTGTGTGTGTGTGTGTGTGTGTGAGTGAGTGAGTGAGTGTGTGAGTCTGTGTGAGTGTGTGACTGTTTGTGTGTGTGTGTGAGTGAGTGTGTGTGTGAGTGTGTGTGAGTGTGTGTTTCAGCATCACCAAATCACAGGGTCCTCCTGAAGGCAGGATATATAGGTGTGTGTGTGTGTGTGTGTTTGTGTCAGTAACTGTGCTGGTTTTCTCTCTGTCGCTGGAACAGTCGCTGGGATTTGACACAGGTATCATCAGTCATCAGTCTGATCATCACCATCAGCCCCTCCTCTTCATCTTCCTCCTGTCGCCAACACATTATCAGTGTCTTTCTGCTCGTCCTTCTCACACACACACACACACACACATACACAGTGTGTCCATCAGTCCAGTTTGCCTGTGCTGTTAATGTGCTTCATCGGCATGACGTGACCCGCCGGGCGAGCAGTGGCCTTATTTGCATGTGAATGAATCCTCGACCAATGAGAGCTGCTCGATCTGGTTTGCTCAAATGTTCTTTTTCCTGGTGTTATCGCAGACAACTTTGGTCATAAAGAGTATAACAACTTACATACGAGTAATGCAAGTAAATGATTTTAATGATTCTTAAATAATTTTTTAAAAATTAGTTTCATAGTAATATTTGTATATAATGGGATTTTTTTCCCACCTAGTTAGACTGACCCGCCTTTTAACTGTCTTATAAATCTTTCTTTATGCTATATTATCACCAAATATTAGATTTAATCTTTTTATCATCTTGCTTTCGTTCTTTTAGCTCAGGATTTGTATTTTTTTTTGGCGCTGGTCGATCGTCGTCGTCGATCCGGTGAACAAGCTCTAGTGAACTATTATAACACTGAAGTCAACGATCGACCGGCTCCAGCTGTGCTAGCTGACAGAAAACGAGCTGACGAAAGATTGAATCCAATATTTGATGATAATACAGCATATCCAGAGATCTATGAGCGGGTTAAAAAGGCGTATTACGGAGTTCAAGGGTTACACTGAGCAACACATCCGGTTTAGAACAAGTGTGACCTCCCTGTGAGCCCCGCCCCTCTTTAGGGAGGAGCCCCGCCCTCCTCATTAGCATACCACATACATCATAACACCGTGCTCATGCAGATCCATCACTTTCTGTGTGTGTGTAGTGTGTGTGACTCTGGAGCCGCTGGAGGGAGCCGAGACGTACGTCAACGGCAAGCAGATCAGCGAGTGTGTGCAGCTCAAACAGGGTGAGTGTGTTTAGCCTCCTCATCGAGTTGCCGGAGTGTGTTCGCACCGCAGGAACTGATGTCCGCCTCTAATCCAGCGCTAGAGGAAGTACAGTGACGGTAGTGTTCGCTGATTGGCCGAACGCACTCGAAACACCAGCACTCGCCGTTTAAAAAAGCCTGTAAACACACAGATCATCGCCTATATAGAAACTAACTCTACGAACATCAACGAGCCTCTGAACCCTTACGCTGAGACCACGACCCAACACCAAACACGGCTGACGCTAATCACTTCCGTCACACTTTATTTCCATAGTCCACTTTAGACGTTCTGCTGAGTAACTCCTCAACCACGTGTCAGCTGACTCTCTGAGAGCATCAGTAGCCTGTGGACTGAAGGGGTTGGGGTTGCGTTTGGAGAATGAGTCGACATGTAGTTGCGGAGTTACTGATAGTCAGACGATAATGTGGACTATAGAAATAGTGTTGCCATTACTCTTCATTACCGTCTACTTCCTGTCCAGTTCCTGTGTAGACAGTAGACAGTAATCTAGAAGTCCCCTTGTGTGTGAGCCCGCTGTCCTCGGGATCACGTGACCCTGAGCTCAACCTATGGTGTCGCAGGAAACCGCGTGGTGATGGGCAAGAACCACGTGTTCCGGTTCAACCACCCGGAGCAGGCGCGTGTGGAGCGCGAGCGGAGCCTGGACCAGCAGGGGGAGCCGGCGGACTGGAACTACGCCCAGAGGGAACTGCTGGAGGAGCAGGGCATCGACATCAAGCTGGAGATGCAGAGGAGGTGCGACACACACACACACCGACACACACTGATGATACACACGGATGATGCACATGGCGGATACACATCATGCGATTGCGAGTTCAGTTCTGTCACGGCTGCACACACGACCGCATGTGGAGTTCTCCATGTGAACAGAGTGTGTTACGCAGAAACATCAGATGTGTGACACTATATTAGATCTGTGCATTCACTCTTAAAGGGCCAGCAGCCCTTATAGTGCAGAGTGAGATCAAGCGTGTGTGTGTGTGTGTGTGTGTTATAGCGGTGATGATTATGGATCACAGATGTGAATCCTGTTGACCGTATTGTGCTCTTGCTCTGCCTCAGGCTGCAGGACGTGGAGACGCAGTACCGGCGGGAGAAAGAGGAAGCGGATCTACTGCTGGAGCAGCAGCGGCTGGTGAGACACACACACACACACACACACACACAGGAGTGCGCTCATATGATCATAAATACAGTAAAACAGTGTAATATTAAAACAGTGTAATATTACTCCAGTGTAAATCAGCTGATCTCTGTGGATATATAGTACAGTGTAATCAATCCTGAATTTTCTGTGTGTGTGTGTGTGTGTGTGTGTGTGTGTGTGTGTGTGTTCAGTATGCTGATTCAGACAGTGGGGATGATTCTGATAAACGCTCATGTGAAGAGAGTTGGAGACTCATATCCTCCCTGAGAGAGAAATTACCAGCTATCAAGGTATTACACACACTCACACACTCCCTCACTCACTCACACACTCACTCACTCACACACTCACTCACTCACACATATACTCACTCACACACTCACTCACTCACACATATACTCACTCACACACTCACTCACTCACACATATACTCACTCACTCACACACTCACTCACTCACACATATACTCACACACTCACTCACACACTCACTCACACACTCACTCACTCACACATATACTCACTCACTCACTCACACACACACTCACTCACACATATACTCACTCACTCACTCACTCACACACTCACTCACTCACTCACACACTCACTCACTCACACATATACTCACTCACTCACTCACTCACTCACACACTCACTCACTCACACATATACTCACTCACTCACTCACACATATACTCACTCACACACTCACTCACTCACTCACACACTCACTCACTCACACATATACTCACTCACTCACTCACACATATACTCACTCACTCACTCACTCACTCACACATATACTCACTCACTCACTCACACATATACTCACTCACTCACACACTCACTCACTCACACACTCACTCACTCACTCACTCACTCACTCACTCACTCACTCACTCACTCACTCACACACACACTCACTCACACACTCACACATATACTCACTCACTCACTCACTCACTCACTCACACATATACTCACTCACTCACTCACACATATACTCACTCACTCACACACTCACTCACTCACACACTCACTCACTCACTCACTCACTCACACATATACTCACTCACTCACTCACACACTCACTCACTCACTCACACACTCACTCACTCACTCACTCACTCACACATATACTCACTCACTCACTCACACACTCACTCACTCACTCACACACTCACACACTCACTCACACATATACTCACTCACTCACTCACACACTCACTCACACACTCACTCACTCACTCACACACTCACTCACTCACTCACACACTCACTCACTCACACACACATATACTCAGTGTTGTAGTACTCGAGACTCGGACTCGGTCTCGAGACCATATTTTAATGGTCTTGGTCTTGTCATGGACTCGTGTCCATTTGGACTCGGAATTGACTCGTATTTGAACATTTTTTATTTTAGGACTCGGACTTATTCCCGAGTCCACTCGAGTTCAATTAAAAATATTTTTCATGATTATTAATGTATGTTAATAAAATGTTTCTTTAAATTGATTGACACGCCCAGTGATTGGTGATTTTCTAGTGCGCAACTGCGCATGACAAATTGTAATAAAATTACTTTTAACACCACCTACTAAGGGGCCTTTTTACCCTAAACTGATCATATTTTTAAACTCTAAGTAAATTCAGTAAAAAAAAAAAAAAAAGGATTTCTCTAAGTAAATAAAAGTAAATTAGGTAATCAACCCTCTCTGGTCTCGGTCTCGACTCGGACTCGAGTGAGGTGGTCTCGACTACAACACTGCATATACTCACTCACTCACTCACTCACTCACTCACCCACACACACACACACACACACACACACACACTCACACTCACACACAAACTCACACACACACACACTCCTCCTCTAACCCAGTGCTGTGTGCAGGTCCAGTCCATCGTGAGGCGCTGTGGGTTACCCAGCAGTGGGAAGCGGCGTGAGCCTCTGCGTGTGTACCAGATCCCGCAGCGCCGCCGCATCAGCAAGGCCCCGGAGCGCGTGACGCTGAGCGACCTGAAGCTGCAGGCGGTGAAGGAGATCTGCTACGAGGTGGCGCTCGCCGACTTCCGGCACTCGCGGCGCGAGGTGGAGGCGCTGGCCGTGGTGAAGATGAAGGAGCTGAGCCGCATGTACGGTAGGGAACACACTCCTCATCCTCATCCACAGGAACACACCACCTCCTCAAAGCTGAAGTAATGATCTCTCCGCCGATGCGCGGTTTGTTAGGATAGGACGATCATTAGCCGAGATACGACCAATGAACAGCCGGAGTCTGGAGGTGCAAAAAACAGGACGTCACATCTGATGTTATTTCATGCATCTTGATTTAAGAAATGTTTGATATTTGGACTGAAAACAAGAAACCCTGAGTGAGAACTGCAGTGTGTGTGTGTGTGTGTGTGTGTGTGTGTCATCGCTGGACTGTGTTGATGTGGATATGATGGTTTCCAGGAGTGCTGCACACGGGCGGGCGGCGGGACGAGGAGGAGGAGAAGGAGGCGTGGAGGGACGTGGCTCAGGACGTGTGGGACACGGTGGGCATCGGGGACGAGCGCCAGGACACACACACACACGCTGACGGAGAGAGAGGCGTGTACGACCTGAAAGCTCACATCAACAAACTGACCGATATCTTACAAGAGGTCAAAGAGCAGAACAACACGAAGGACGAAGAGATCAAAGCCCTCAGAGACCGGATGATGAAGATGGAGAGCATCATACCAGCAGTGCAGGTGAACACACACACACACACACACACACTCTCACACACACACACTCTCACACACACACACACTCTCACACACACACACACACACACAGTAGCTTGGTTTCCATCCAAACATGAAGCGCATCTTTTCAAAGCTGGTTTGTCTGCCACAAGCTCGTTATTTTAGTCGATAAAGTTTTAAATATGAATATTTTTCTAACACCAACACATCGCTTCTCTTCAGATGACCTTTATTGACCCCGTGTGGAGCACTTTATGGTGGAGTGTAAAAACTTATATATTTGACATTCCCGCTCGTTTCTGATGCGATACTTCACAATATAGCCACTAACACACATGCATTTGTTCAGTAGTTGTGTATGTGTTTGTGTAGGACGACGATGAATCCGAGGATCTGAGCGCAGACGGTGATGTGGAAGATGGGCGTGGCCATCTAGAGCTCCTCCCCAAAGAGCAGCGCGTGTCACGGCTGATGGAGGAAGACCCCGCCTTCAGGAGGGGCCGCATGCGCTGGCTCAAACAGGAGCAGACACGCCTCCTCAACCTGCAGCAGCAGCAAATCACCAAGCGCCTGCGCCGAGGGGGCGGAGCCGGGGGCGGGGCTGTGGGTGGGGAGGGCGTGGTCCACCTCCCTGGAACGGGACGCTTCATTCCCCCTCAGGACTGCAAGCTGAAGTTCCCCTTTAAGAGCAACCCTCAGCACCGGCTCTCCTGGGGGCCGAACGGGTCCGTGGCGCCAGACGAGGAACGAGGGCCCGCCCCCGGCGTGCCGTTACTTCCTCTTCCGTTCCAAATGCCGGTCATCATGCGCGCGCCTTCCCCCAGTCGCCCCTGGCAACCTCGTCCCTACAGCAATGGTAACTATGGCAACGGCAATCACGTTCCTCAGCAACAACAATGGCGCCACAGGCGCAATTCACTGGATGGCTCCACCGTACCTGGCAACCAGGGTTATTATGCCAACGGGCACCACAACAACAACAACCGCGGTCGCTATCGGCAACAGTCGCCGGGCCCTTGTGTACGCGGGGAGGGCGGGTACGTCAACCACCAACGGCCCCTACCGCACACGCTCACCGATCAACCGCACGGCAAACACCAAAAACCGCAAGGCTACGTCACCCCGCCGCGCATGAGGCGCCAGAACAGCGCCCCGGACCTGAAGAGCAGAGAAACGCCCGTCTGATGATGTCATGAACACTAGCCCAGCGGGTTTGAGGGGTCAGGGAGTTAGTTAACAGAGTCTCATGTAGTCAGACTATCAGTAGAAAGAGTTTATTCTGGGCTAGAGCCGCCCACTTCGGGACAGGAAGAGCGTCACTGGCTACGTTTACATGCTACCAAATCACCTGTTAGTAACGGGACTAGCGGCTCAGTCGCGCTGAAAGCTTCACGCACACGCCTTAACCGATCCAATGAGATTTCTGAAAACTGAAAGACTGCGCATGTGCAATGATGTAGAAATAGCGTAGTGATGTAGAAATTTACTCCAAATTATGACCAGAAATGGATAAATATGAAGTTTGCTGTTTAAAAGAAATAAAGAAGTACTGTAGAGAATATTAATTACGGCGGGAAACTCTGTATATTCCTGCAGTGAGCGCAGGTCAAAAACACTGCTCCGACACACACACACACACACACACACACACACACACATCACCCCGCTCACATGTTCAGGCTCATGAACACACTGCGCTCAGATCCATCAGTCGACTCAGTTCAGCGCGACGGAAACACCAGCTGGGCCTGTAAACGCAGCCAGTGACCGCAACGGACCGCAGCTGGAGTGATAACTGTAGCGGCTGCTGCGGCTGCTAATGTATCGTTGCGGTTATCGCTGGTCGTGTCATCTTGAGTTTCGTACATACTGACGGTTGCTCATCCAATCAGATTGGAGCGTGTGATTTTTGGAAGGCTCTCGTGTTTTTAAGTGCAATATGCTTGTGTGGGCGGTCCGAGACTAGCTAACACAAACTCTGCTAGCGCACACGTCAGCACTCAGTGTGTGTGTGTGTGTGTGTGTGTGTGTGGTGTTCAGCATCAGCACTGCTCAAACAGGATCAGTTGTGCATCAGATTTGCACTAGTTCAGCCTCAATGTGCCTTAATAACCTCAGAGATCACTGACAGAAACGCCATGAGGGTGTGTGTGTGTGTGTGTGTGTGTGTGTGAGATCTGAGATGGAGGAACCTCTGATGCCTGATTCATGGTTCTGAACCGTTCTTGTTTTATGAGTCTGTGTTGATATATACTGTTGGACACAGCTCCAATCATTTACACTCACTGCAGTTTTTCTTTTTTTTTCTTCAGTTTTTCAATTAAATTTGTGTTTTAAGCCAAACTCACCATCTTTAGTGGACTACACTGAGCCAGAGGAGGATTGTTCAACAACACCAGACTTCATCACGTCGCTCTCGTCCATCTGCAGCGCTAGCTCCACCTGCTGGAGATAATGAACATTAAACACAACGGTTCACTCCCTAACCAGTGAGGACCGCACTAGTGTGTAGGGCTGGAATGTGTTTGCACAGCCGTGATGATGACGACGCAAGTGATGATGAAGGGGATGTTGAGAGTTCAAAGGTCATTGAAATGGACATGTGGGGTGAAATGCAAGTCGTGTGAGTTTTAGAGTTTGTTTTTTCAGGATTTTTAAAGTTGTGAGTGAACATGCTGAGGACGGATGTTTTAAACTCCCTGGTAGAAGAGATGTTGTGTCTCAACGGGACCTTCCTGGTTAAATAATAATAATAAACTCAATCAGATGGCAGAAATATATATATAATATTTGGAATATGATTCCTGTGCCTTTGGGCCACAGACAGTTGTTTGATCCGGTTTGACGTTATTTTGAGTGGCAGATTTGAAACGGTCCCACTTGTGTGAGACTGCACTGCATATCCCATCCCATCCCACTGGAGAGTTACTGGAGATTCCCACTTGATATTCCCACTGGGATTCCCACTGTATCCCGTCAGAGTAAACCAGCCACGCGAGTGATGTCACAGTGACAGTGTTGCAGGTGGGCGGGGTTATGTGAGATTGCCTTTAGACATGACATCACAGGAATGTTTGTGACCGTGACCTTTAGCACTTCAGGACAATCTTCTGATGGTGTCGTGTGTGTTTGGATGATGATGATGATGATGATGATGTCTCTTATCTACACCCATAGATATACACACTAGATGTCGCCTTGGCTACGGCAGTTCATTGGAACGAATGCGTCAATAGAGCCGCCATCATGTGACAGGGGAGCCCCTCCTCTGCTGTTTAGAACCCCATGGCCACATCTAGTGCATATACATCTATGATCCACACCGCAGATGATCACTGCCAGGATATGATGCGTGTTTAGTTTCATCATGCCTTCATGTATTCATCATGTATGCGACTGAGTTAATTTACTCAAACACACACATGCATTATTCACTTGTGTGTGTTTGTGTGTGTGAGGTCGACTCGATGAACCTCGTGTGTGTCGTCGGACACAAGCTTCTGTTTCTGCTCTTCTTTTGCTCGGTTTTTTCCGGATGTTGAGTTTTTTTTTTTTTTGTCTGTTTAAAAACGGCAAAATATCATTAAAGGAAAATGTATTAAATCAACATGTTTCTGGTGTTTTTGTAGTCTGTATCTCCTCCATACGCACTGATGTTTATGTAGTGATTTTTGATCATGTCTCTTATGACGAAAACCAGCCAAAAGCAATAGTTTTGCTCTCAAAAGCTTAACCACAACTATCTTGCAGTGTCTCTCCTCGTGTGTCTTCAGCGTCGAGTTGAACAAGGGTGTGTGTGTGTGTGTGTGTGTGTGTGTGTCCACCTCTCTGAGGAGGAGGACATTAAACCCGGCATCTCTCCGATCCTGGCCTGTGATTGGCCACTGGTGTCTGAAGTAGGTGTGTACTGTCTTTACTGTCTTTAACCTTTTACATGTGCATTATTTCTTTACTAAACCTCTTTTACAATATTACAGGTGTCGTATGGAACAGATAGAGACCAAACACGACGAGAAACCGTCATCATCCGCGCAGTCGCTCATCCGTGCCGTGAACTGTTGAGTTGATCAAGAACTTTATTAATCAGAATATAATTAGCCATTTCAATCTACTATATTCCTGCTCTGCCGTTAGATATTATAGCCAACTGTGTGTGTGTGTGTGTGTGTGTGTGAGCTCATATTATGCCGTAACTGACCCTGGAACAGCTCTAACTGATGTTCACCAGGCTCATCTGACAGCACACACTGCACATTTCTGCTGCTGCTGTTTCATCATTATGCTGTTACATGCAATCCAGCTTAAACAAGAAAAAATATGAAGCGATATCCAAGACCGCCTTCATCATTTTGCAATAAGCTTCATATGGGCAGTGCTCATATTTCTGATGCATTTTACAATAATAATGATAATTGCTTTACATTTCAGATGTTACATTTTTGTACACAAGGAAAACTCAAAGACCAGGGGTTGATGTAGAAAACTCGTAATGCTCATATGTAGAGGCGTGTGTGTGTGTGTGTGTGTGTGTGTGTGTGACACTGAGGAAGAGAGATATCAGCAGACGAGGCTCACTCTCTCTCTCAGAGGAAACGGACGCCAGCGCTCAGAGGTATGACACATCATTCATTCACTTATTATTATTATTTATTCTCTGCAAAATATAGTGTTTTTGTCTTGTTTCCAGTCCAAATATTTACTAAAGTAGTAAAATGACATAAGATATTATGTCCTGTTTCCAGAGGAATTAATCTAAATTAATTGAGTCGATGCTTAAAACAAGCAAAATTATCAGAAAAATAATCTTAATTCAAACAGAAACATTTTTCTCACCCCATCGGCAGTTCATTTTGCTTTTTTAAGCATAAATTCACTAAATGTTGATTAATTCCCCCGGAAAACAAGACGTATATGTCATTTTACTTTATATTTACATTTTATATATCTCATTTTAATAATATGTCATTTTAATCATCTAGTGAATGCATCAAATGTTTGATATTTGGACAGAAACACCGAGTAAGAACAGCTCATTCGTGTGGTGTGGTAAACACTAGTTTACTTTCACTATTTTTGTTCAATTTATGCAAATATATCTCGCAAAGATGTCAATTATATTTTGCATAAAATACATGAAGCCTATTTTAGGGACCGTTATGATTTGTATGTTTTGTGACATTATTCTCAAGAACATTGAAGTGTGAATAGGAAAGAAAATCTTCGTCTCTTTTGCTCACCAAAGCTGCGTTCATTTGATAAAAAATACTATTATTTCAGTGTATATCATCTGTTTTCTATGTGAATATATATTAAAGTGTAATTTATTCCTGTGATCAAAGCTGAGTTTATCATCATTACTCCAGTCTTCAGTGTCACATGACCCTCCACAAATCACTCTAATATGAGGATCTGATGATCAACACAGTTATGATTATTAGCAGTGATGAAAATTTTTTGTGGAAACCATCAAACATATTTCTGGATTATTTGAAGAATAGAAAATTCAAAAGAGCTGCATTTCTTTTAGACAGAATCTTTAATAAGTGTCTTTACCGTCACTTGTCATTTATGATGCATCCTTGATTAATAGAAATGTTTGGTTCCACTTTATTTTGAAAGTCCGTTTTAGGCATTCTGCTAGCCTAACTATTAGAACTTCTCAACTGCATGTCCGCTAACTCTCATTAGAGTATCAGTAGACTGTTGTAGACTGATAGGGTTCGGGTTTGGAGAATAAGTCGACTTGTAGTTGCCAAGTTGCTTATAGTCAGTAGAATATCTGTTGAGGATCACAATAAAGAGTTAGCAGATATTAAGCACTGACAGTTAGTGGACATGTAGCTGCAAAGTTACCAAAATGTTTATTTCTTACTGACCCCAAATTTTTGAACAGTTGTGTACTTCACATTGAAATAAAATAAAGAAGACAAAATACATTATGTTACATTAGTGAGAGTTTGGGGGGGAAATAATGTCAGTGAACGAATAGCGTCTTTATTTTCTTTTGTTTTGTTAGACTGTATTATATTTTGGCAGCTATGCTTAGAAATGCCTGGTTTCTTCCAGTTTCGTGATGCGACGCTTCGTCTTCCTCATGATGCAGTGCTGCGTCGTCATGAGCGTCAGCTGCCCGGCGGACAGGAACCAGGACCACCGGCCCCGCGTGAGCTGTGTGGGCCAGAGCCTGACGACTGTTCCAGACGGGATCGATCCCGACACGCAGGTTCTGGTTCTCACAGAAAACCACTTCAGTTCTCTGTCCTGGTCCTCGTATTCGGGATTCACACAACTGCACGAGCTGGACCTGAGCCACAATCTCATCACCACGCTGGAGCCGCCAGGTAAGCCTCAGCACTGCAGTTGAGTCTCAGAGAGAGTCTTAAGAACTGCAAGAGTCAGAGAGAGAGTCTCAGAGTCTAAGTCACAGAGAGTCTCAAAGTCACAGAGAGAGTGTCAGAGTTTCAGTCAGAGTCACACAGTCTCAAGAGTCATACAGAGAGAGTCTCAGAGTCTAAGTCACAGAGTCTCAGAGAGTCACAGAGAAAGTCTCAAAGTCACAGAGAGAGTCACAGAGTCAGAGAGAGTCACAGAGAGAGTCGCAGAGTCTCAGAGAGTCACACAGAGAGTCTCAAAGTCACAGAGAGAGTCTCAGAGTCACAGAGAGAGTCAGAGAGAGAATCACAGAGAGAGTCTCAGAGTCAGAGAGAGATTCTCAGTCACAGAGTCTCAGAGAGTCTCAAGAGTCTCAGAGAGAGAATCACAGAGAGAGTCTCAGAGTCAGAGAGAGAGTCAGAGTCACACAGAGAGTCTCAGAGTCAGAGAGAGATTCTCAGTCACAGAGAGTCTCAGAGTCAGAGAGAGTCACAGAGAGAGTCTCAGAGTCAGAGAGAGTCACAGAGAGTCTCAGAGTCACACAGACAGTCACAGAGAGAGTCTCAGAGTTTCAGTCACAGAGAGAGTCTCAAGAGTCACAGAGAGAGTCTCAGAGTCAGAGAGAGAGTCACAGAGTCAGAGAGAGAGTCACAGAGAGAGTCTCAGAGTCAGAGAGAGAGTCACAGAGAGAGTCTCAGAGTCAGAGAGAGTCACAGAGAGAGTCTCAGAGTCAGAGAGAGAGTCACAGAGAGAGTCCCAGAGTCAGAGAGAGTCACAGAGAGAGTCTCAGAGTCAGAGAGAGAGTCACAGAGAGAGTCTCAGAGTTTCAGTCACAGAGTCTCAAGAGTCACAGAGAGAGTCTCAACTTTAACTGTGTGTCTCTTTCAGGTCCAGTGCTGGGAAAACTGAGCGTGTTGCGTTTGTCTGGTAACAGGTTAACTGGTTTGGGAGGACTGGTGTTCCGCTGCGCTCCCAACCTGATGGAGATCTTCCTGAACGCCAACCAGATTCGTTCCCTTCACGACGCCACCTTCAGCGAACTCCCACGTCTGGAGATCATCAACCTCTCTCAGAATAAGCTTCCCGCCCTGCCGGCTCGCCTCCTGGAGCGAGTGTCGTCCAGCAGCCTGAAGACGTTTGATTTGGAGAATAACAGCATCTCGCTGATGCCTGACAGTTTCTTCTCGTCTAAACCCGAGTTACCGTACGTTTTCCTGTCCTATAATCCCTGGATCTGCAGCTGTGCTGTAGGTTATCTCCACAGCTACCTGAACGACCAGGAGCACAACGTCTACAAGCATGTAGCTCCGAATGGCCTCGATCCCGCCGCCGACAGTGTTGTGTGTTCTGCGCCGCCTCATCTATCCCAACGGCCCATCATTGAACTGGAAGAGAACGACTTCTGCCCTCCAGATCCACCTCTCTATCCCAGTGGAGACTGGGATTTCAAACCCATCACTAGACCAAATTACAGCCCTCAAACCCCTCCTGCTCCACACGACGCCTCCGACATCACCCTCCTGCCCGCTTCCACCAAATCCTGGACCACCTCCTGGTCCTGGGTCAGTGAGTCCTGGAGTGAAACAAGGTATGAATTCCGGACCATGTGGGAGCTTTTTAGCTTGAATCCAAAGACTACTTCAGAGATTCCCACTCTAGATGCCACCGAATCACCTGCCAACACAACACAACCAAACACCATGATTACTGACCCGTACCAACTCACAACTTCTGGACCCATTACTGCCAGATCCCAAAGTCAGAGTACCATCGGATCTGAACCGCACACTTCCAGAACGATCACGGTCCAGACCGAACCACCAACCACTGGACCCTCTACAGCCGGATCCCACGGTCAAAGTACTTCCCGACTGGATCCTCACTCCTCTAGCGCAACGATCACGGTCCAAACCGAACCACAAACCACTGGACCAATTATTGCCGGATCCCAAAGTCAGAGTACCATCGGATCTGAACCACACACTTCCAGAACGATCACGGTCCAGACCGAACCACCAACCACTGGACCCTCTACAGCCAGATCCCACGGTCAAAGTACTTCCCGACTGGATCCTCACTCCTCTACCGCAACGATCACGGTCCAGACCGAACCACAATACACTGGACCCATTATTGCCGGATCCCAAAGTCAGAGTACCATCGGATCTGAACCGCACACTTCTAGAACGATCACGGTCCAGACCGAACCACCAACCGCTGGACCCTCTACAGCCAGATCCCACGGTCAAAGTACTTCCCGACTGGATCCTCACTCCTCTAGCGCAACGATCACGGTCCAAACCGAACCACGAACCACTGGACCCATTATTGCCGGATCCCAAGGTCAAAGTACCTCTGGATCCTCCAGAACAACGATCACGGTCCAAACCGAACCACCAACCGTTGAGCGGATCATTCCCCGAACAGAACCGCCCACTAGTGTCGGTCCGCACTGGGCAGATGCCCGTGGTGCGGGTGGGAGGATCCTGCCGTGGTGCTGGTGGTTATTTGCCGGTTTCGTGTTGTTGTGTTTGCTATCGGCTCTCACATCATGTGTTCTGTGTGTTTGGCTCCTGAGGAACCACCTCACCGTCAGCCGGTGGCTAAAGCATCACGGCTTGCCTCGCTCGGACAGCGGCGGGGTCACCCTACAGGCGTACAAATACACTGAACACACACAGCGAAGGGAGGATGAAGGTGAGCGCGTGAGCTTTATACCCCTAAACCAGCTCAGAGACGTTCAAGCCGTGTTCCGAAGCGTCCTCTTCATCCACCCGCCGGAGGAGCAGAAACACCACACTGAAGGGAGAGATGCTTCTTCCAAAGTAGAGCTGGTTTCTGTAGCAGGCAGAGCGAGAGATAAGGAGCGGGAGCCGGCGATGAGCGGGGAAGTGTTCAGGAAAACCCTGCACAGGGTGATAAGCCGAGAAGAGGAAGCAGACGGATGGAGAGAGGAAGAGGAGGCAGATAGAAGGAGAGAGGGAGAGTGTGTGTGGAGCGGACAGGGGTCGACCGCTCGCTATAGTCTGATCCTGAGGGAGGAGAGAGGAACACGGCGAGAGATGCAGTGGCTGGTTGGGGAATGGGAACTGGGGGATGAGGGCGTGGCCAATCAGAGGTCCTGCTCTCTGATTGGCCAGCTCTCCAGCGTCGCTCAGGAGTGAACCGTCATCTTGGTTTTGTCTGTTAACTCTCAAATATTGATTGTTGATTCCAAGCCAATAAATTGTTTCAATGCAGCTACAGAAAAATAAACGTGAAAACATTATTTTATTGATCCCTCTGCTAGATATTTGTTCTTGTTTTTAGTGTAAACTCACTTGGATTTGATAATTTTTACAGAATATCTTCAGTCATTTTGCTTCACCAGTAAATGTATCTTGATTTAAGAATGCTTTGTATTTTTTCCAATACAAATATCTGAGGAAGAACCTTGTTTTTGCGGTGTAAAGCATTTCTCCAGTTCATGTCCAGTAGCTTCACACACTTGATGAATATGCTGTAAAATTATTATTAGTACTACTTATAAAATTAAGACTGTTAATTAAACAGAAAAAGTAGCCTGTTATTAGTAATCTCACTTGAGCTGGTATATGAATCACCTTTACATCTAAATAAAAGTTTTTTGTTTATTGAAAGAAAAATATGCCTTTTTCAGCATTCCATTATCATAGTTTTTAGGACATTTTTATACCAATTCCCAGTTTCATATAAAGGTCTGGAATAATCTCCCGCTTTTATACAGTCAAACCAGAATATATCCGGACACCTTCAACATTTCTCACATCATCAGTTTATTGGCTCTAGTTTATAAAGATGAGCAGAACTCAGTCCTCAGATCAGTGGATATTTGACTGGTTTTGTCCGTTCTTTTGTTGGACTCTCACACATGAATTATGTTGAATATCTGTCAGCTGTTAACCCATTCAGACCCTGTGTCCATTACAATGGACATCACATGTCAGCCCCCTTTTTTTAACTTCTGGAGCATTTCACAATGGACAAAACGGTCAGTATCTCGGAAATGACGAGTCCCAGCGATGCTTTGTGCGGATTCGTGAATCTCTTCTCTCTTCTTATTTAGCTCTTTTTTTAAGACTGATCTCATGAAGTAGCGTGTGTATGACATGCCAATTCGTATTTCCATTTTTGGCGTGCTGTCAACACGCATAATCGCTTTTCAGCGTGTTTATGAACGCCGTTGACTTAACGTTATTACTGTATATATATAAATATATGACTTACCTCAACCCCGTCCCTAAACCTACCCGTCACTGGGGTTAATGGCATTTATGACTGTTCCCTTACCATCCTAGGAAAGTAAAGATAGCTCCCCAGATGTAGATGTACATTTTGCTTCGTTTCGCTCGGACATTTGACGGCGTGTAGTGTACAGACACGCGGAATGACGCGGACGTTAATGGCGTAGACACGCATACACGTGGATAGCTCAAAATGCGTAGAGATAACACGCCACTTGACTCGAAAGTGGCGTGTATGTTTACGCAAAAGTCATGATGTCATGTTGCAGATTGATAGTGGCTCGCTGATGACCGTAAATTAGTTCAAACCTCCTGGAATCTAGACGAGCAAGAGCGCGCACATACTGTGTTTCAACGCACATGCGCGCGACAGAGAGCGAGAGAACCCTTGCGCATGCGCAGTAAAGGTATAACCTGTGGGAAAACGGCGTTTTAAACAAAGGGGCAAAGTCATCAAACTTTTTCAGCGAATTTTATTATATTTTACTGCTATTTCTATACATGCAGTTTGTATGCCCTGATGACCAGTGCCTGACTTCTGACTCTCTGCCCATTCATTTAGATAGAGCCTGGTCTTGTTAGTCCGAAATAGCTGCCCAGATGCGCTGCCAAGATGGCGGAAAAAGAAAGTGAAAGGACTTTGGTTTAAAGGAGAACTCCGGCGCAAAATGAACCTTTGGTCTAATTACACATTGTTACCTAGTCAACCGTTATCTGAGATTTGTTTTCATGATTGCCGAATGTAAATAGTTTTATCTCTAAAAACAGTTTAGCCTATAACGCTAGTATAACGCTAGTATATAGGGCATAGAGTAATGACAAATAAAAATCGCTTGTTATTACCACTAACAAGGCTCAAAATAGCCCCACAGTAACACGACAGCATAATAAGGGTCCCTACATTCAAACCGAAGCGTTGAGAACTTTGTCAGTGTCCATACAATTTAATAAGAAGATGTTTTATACACACAGTCAACTTCACGAATACAGGAAGAAGCCATCTTTGAAAAATAGTCTCTACCAGTCAATCTACGAATGCCGATCCAAGTGCGCTGAACTGTGCAGAATCTCATATGGTCCGTTGTTTCCAGAAGAAACACAAACACAAACGGTTTACTTATCTTCAATATGTACACGTAGCCTACTGTTCGCGCTCACATTATCACCTTATTCACATCTCACCAGCGCACTTGGATCGGCGTTCGTAGATCGACTTGTAGAGGCTATTTTTCAAAGATGGCTTCTTTCTGTATTCGTGAAGTTGACTGTGTGTATAAAACATCTTCTTATTAAACTGTATGGACACTGACAAAGTTCTCAATGCTTCGGTTTGAATGTTATTTTGACAAGGCTATTTTGAACCTTGTTAGCGGTAATAACAAGCGATTTTTATTTGTCATTACTCTATGCCCTATATACTAGCGTTATAGGCTAAACTGTTTTTAGAGATAAAACTATTTACATTCGGCAATCATGAAAACAAATCTCAGATAACGGTTGACTAGGTAACAATGTGTAATTAGACCAAAGGTTCATTTTGCGCCAGAGTTCTCCTTTAATCCATGGGGACTCAATTTAGGCCCACAGTGACACGAGTCTCCATGAGTGTGTGTGCATTCAGGTTTAAAGGATTAGTTCACTTTTGAAAAAACTTTTGCTGATAATTAACTCACCCCCATGTCATCCAAGATGTCCATATCTTTCTTTCCTCAGTCGAAAAGAAATTTAGGTTTTTGATGAAAACATTCCAGGATTTTTCTCCATATAATGGACTTCAATGGGAACCGGATGGTTCAGGTCCAAAAGAGAGTTAATAACAGTTTCAGATGCAGCTTCAAATGTCTTTAAACGACACCAGACGATGAATAAGGGTCTTATCATGCGAAACGATCGGTTATTTCAAAGCTTATTCCAAAAATGTAACTTTTCTAAGGACAAATGCTAGCCTTTCTCCATTCTGTGAGGCGCGTTTGTAACGTCACGTATTACGTAATTACGCTCAAAAGGTCACGGGCGACGTAGCCGGAAGTACAGAGTCAGAGTGTTTACAAGTTGAACGCATAGGTTGAACGTGCAAACTAACTCAAACGCCGTTTACAAAAAAGGAATTAAAAGTTAAAACAGCGATGTCGGACGATTTTGATTCTGTACTTCCGGCTACGTCGCCCGTGACCTTTTGAACGTAATTACGTATTACGTGACGTTACAAACGCGCCTCACAGAATAGACCATTTCACAAGATGTAAACAACACTGGTCCAGAAGCACTTCCTGTTTCAGTTTGTAACTATTTTCTTTATTTCACATGTAAAGAAAACATCTTAAAGATGTTTGTTTAACTTTTTTATTCAGTTTTAAATGTTCTGTTGGTTGTATTTTATCCCAGCTTTTATGTAGTGTTAAAAAACTGAAACAGGAAGTGCTTCTGGACCAGTGTTGTTTACATCTTGTGAAATGGTCTATAGAGCAAGGCTAGCATTTGTCCTTAGAAAAGTTACATTTTTGGAATAAGCTTTGAAATAACCGATCGTTTCGCATGATAAGACCCTTATTCATCGTCTGATATCGTTTAAAGACATTTGAAGCTGCATCTGAAACTGTTATTAACTGTCTTTTGGACCTTGAACCATCCGGTTCCCATTGAAGTCCATTATATGGAGAAAAATCCTGGAATGTTTTCATCAAAAAACTTAATTTCTTTTAGACTGAGGAAAGAAAGACATGGACATCTTGGATGACATGGGGGTGAGTAAATTATCAGCAAAAGTTTTTTCAAAAGTGAACTAATTCTTTAAGTCCACACACACACAAAACCTCCCAGAAAACGTTCTGCATTCTAAATATTTTGATAGAAAAGGTTCAGTTTATTAAGCGATTTGTTTTTACACATCAAACATCATCTCCCCTGATGTGAACTTACAGACATGAAGCTGACCATCTACAGTGTGACAATCATCTCAATATCTCACTGCTGATGTCAGTTCATCACACTGTGTGTGTTTACATCTGTGTTTATGTGAGCGAGATGAGAGTGTGTGTGTGTGTGTGTGTGTCTGTTCATGTGTCGGTCTCCTCTTCAATTATCTCTCTGATATTCTGCAGTAGCTCAGAGAAACATGGTCGTCCGTGAGGTCTCTGAAAACAAAAAAGAAACACACACACACACACACACAGTGGTAGAGTAGTTATTCAGAGTGCTGATGATGTCAGCGATAGACACATGCAGCTGGAACACACAACACCACTTTTAAGCGCTACAGTACAGTTTCACAACACACGTTTGCTCCAATACTCACAATACCTAATAACACAGAACCCAACGGAAATATTTCCAGGGGAACCAAATAAGTGCCGAACCCGACTGGGACGTGCTGGTGCTTATAGACATAATCAATTCAGAGACACCCTATTGGCCGCTTTGGAGTGTTGCTGCGATACGTCAACGCGTCCGCCATTTTGCTGAGGGCAAGACTCAAATGCAATCAAATACAAATGCTTGTAATCAAATGCAAAAATAAATTGTCACAGCCCTGTCTCTTTTTGTGAGACTAAAGATCGCCCGTTAGATATACACAAGACGAATTACAGTATATCTCATGTTTAACCATGTTTAAAATTTTAACTAACTTAAGTAGAACTTCAAAGTTTAAGAAGTGTAATACTTTAGAAAATACATACTTGAAATTTTAGAATGATTAGAATCGGTAGAAGATATACTGTTTATATATATATTCCCTGCACGCCCAGTGTTGTCTGCAATTGGGACGGGTCATGTTCACACCTTGAACGACCCTTACCAGAGTTGGTTTGGAACCGGACTGAGACCACCTCGAGTGTGATTGCTGTATTCACACCAAGGGGGAAACAACTTGAGTTCGATTCAGTTGAACCCAATAAGACAGATATGAATACACCCGAAAACATTTGCCATCAAACTGGGAATATCAAACATGTCTGATCTCCTCCAACTGGATAGTCCATTGGGTGTGGTGTATTCCAGCCGTAAGGCAGTGTGTGTGTGTGTGTGTGTGTGTCTAACCTCGTGCCAGCAGCGGTACATGATGTTGTAGATGTGTCCTGACGCGCGGTGAGGCCTGTACAGACGCCCGCCCTGCGTTACCTCCTCCACCACCTCCACATTCGAGCGGTTCTCAAACGGGCTCCGGCCCTCCGAGAACACCTCCCACACCAGCACACCTGCTCACACACACACATGCTCAACACCTTGATAACACAAACACACACAACACACTCGACCTCTGACCCCAGGCCTCACCGAAGGACCAGACGTCTGACTTGCTGCTGAACTTGTTGAAGTGCAGGACTTCAGGCGGAGACCATTTGACGGGGAACCTGGAGCCCATGGAGCTGGTGTACTGGTTGTCCACCACGTACCTGCCGGAGGAGTGAAGGAGGATTAGATGTTTGAGCTGGAAAAACAAGACAGAAACACTGAGGAAGAACATCATTTTTTGCAGTGTAAGTCATTAAAAATATTCTAGAAAACACTTCTGTTGTGCTTTACCCATGATGCAATGGGAATGATATATCTCACATGCCAAGCTAAACACTGCTGGATCTGAACCAACAAAGAACTCTCCTTTAACTAAGCGACCCGTTCATGCGGAAATGGGCCAAGCACGCACAGGGACTGGGAACTCGAGCTGGGGCCGGACAGGCCTGCATCGAGAGAGAATCGAGTTACACACCTGCTGAGAAGGAGTTTAGACTGAGTTTAGAGGCCGGACGTGGTAGAGAAGGACGTCCCTGTGATGACACACCGACTCTCTGGAATGAGCCAGAATGAGCTAGTTGTCTAGATAATTTAGCACCCGGATGCCCTGGAGCCTCAGTTGGGCCAGAGCCGTGTGCATGACCTTGGAGAACGTCCGCAGGGCCAAAGCTAGACCAAATGGAAGGACCCAATACTGGTACAGCTTTTCCCCAAAGGCGAACCGGAGGAACTTCCTGTGCCGTGGAATGACCTGGATGTGGAAATAGGCGTCCTTCAGGTCCATGGTGAGTCCTCTGCTCGAATCTAAACCAGGATAGTTTTACCAGAAAGGTAGAACCATCCGAGGCATAAACTGCTTAAGGGCAGCTGATTGCGACCACTGAGTTGACCACCTCTCCAAACAAACCCGACTGGCAGATAGTGGTGTCCAGTAGAAAGACCTTCATCTTTTTTGCGGATTTCGGTGGGATTTAGCCATAGGTGGCGCTCAACATCCCCCAAACCTGCCATGGTGCACCCAGCCGCATGCTAAGTCGCTCTTCTGGTGTAAAGCCTCCCATCCTCTTGGATGTCCCCCAGGTAGGCCTGAGGAATGGCCATGGTATGAAGTGCCAAACCTGCCTGGTGATCCTACAGGGCTTAGAAGGAAGAATGCTAACTAGCATGGGCTAGATAAATCTCTTCTCCTGATAACCAGCACCGCTCTCAGTGCGCTCCCATTGCGTCCTCGCTTCGCAGCTGCGAGTGAACCTATGAAAGAGAACTACATGCAACCAAAACATGACATGATGTTTTTGGATGACGAAAACCCAGAGATCTGTGGCGTCAGGATGACTTTTCTTCAGTGCGTCCCTATTTGCACCCTACTCTCAGTCCCTGTGTGTGCCGTATGAACAGTGTGAGGAGTTGTGTGAAGATGAAGAGACAGCGAGAGTTCTCTGACCTGGTCATGCCGAAGTCACACACCTTCACAACGTTCCTCTCGTTCACCAGGCAGTTCCGCGCGGCCTGAAAACACACACACACGAAATTAAAACGTCATGTGACCCTTTTCTTGAATATGATCTTTGACATCCATCCATCCAGTGTTAGGGTTCGGGTTAGTTTGATTCTGACCAGGTCTCTGTGTATGAAGTTGTTTTGCTCCAGGTACTCCATGCCTTCACAGACGTCCTGACACATGAAGAGCATCTGCACGCGCCCCAGAGTCTTGCTGTGCTGCCGCAGGAAGTGAAGCAAACAGCCGTTCTCCATGAACTCGGTCACGATGCAGATGGGCCTCTGAGACACACACACACCGTACAGCTGGACCAGCTTAGGGTGACAGAGACGCCTGCAAACACACACCATCATGAGACGACTGAACCAGTGCTTCACACACAGAGGTCATCTACCCGTCTGTCCGTCTCTCTGTATCTGTGTGTCTCTCCGTCTGTCCGTCCGTCTCTTTGTCTCTCTGTCCGTCCGTCTGTCCGTCTCTTTGTCCGTCCGTCCGTCTGTCCGTCTCTTTGTCTGTCCGTCCGTCTGTCCGTCTCTTTGTCTCTCTGTCCGTCCGTCCGTCTGTCTGTCTCTTTGTCTGTCCGTCCGTCCGTTCGTCTGTCCGTCTCTCTGTCCGTCTCTTTGTCTGTCCATCCGTCTGTCCGTCCGTCCGTCCGTCCGTCTGTCCGTCTCTCTGTATCTGTGTGTCTCTCCGTCTGTCCGTCCGTCCGTCTGTCCGTCCGTCTCTTTGTCTCTCTGTCCGTCCGTCTGTCCGTCTCTTTGTCTGTCCGTCTGTCCGTCTCTCTGTCCGTCCGTCCGTCTGTCCGTCTCTTTGTCTGTCCGTCCGTCTCTTTGTCTCTCTGTCCGTCCGTCCGTCTCTCTGTCCATCTCTTTGTCTGTCCGTCCGTCCGTTCGTCTGTCCGTCTCTCTGTCCGTCCGTCCGTCTGTCCGTCTCTTTGTCCGTCTCTTTGTCTCTCTGTCCGTCCGTCTGTCCGTTTCTCTGTCCGTCCGTCCGTCTGTCCGTCTCTTTGTCTGTCCGTCCGTCTGTCCGTCTCTTTGTCTCTCTGTCCGTCCGTCTGTCCGTCTCTTTGTCTCTCTGTCCGTCCGTCCGTCCGTCTGTCCGTCTCTTTGTCTGTCCGTCCGTCTGTCCGTCTCTTTGTCTGTCCGTCCGTCCGTCCGTCCGTCTGTCCGTTTCTCTGTCCGTCCGTCCGTCTGTCCGTCTCATTGTCTGTCCGTCCGTCTGTCCGTCTCTTTGTCTGTCCGTCCGTCCGTCCGTCTGTCCGTCTCTTTGTCTGTCCGTCCGTCTGTCCGTCTCTTTGTCTGTCCGTCCGTCCGTCTGTCCGTCCGTCTGTCCGTCTGTATGTCTATTTATCTATCGCTCTGTCTTTCTGTCCGTCTGTATCGGTCTGTCCATTTCTCTGTCTGTCTCTGTCTTTCTGCCTGTCTATCTGTCCGTCCGTCTGTATGTCTATCTATCTCTCTGTCTGTCTGTGTGTGTGTGTGTGTGTGCCTGTCTATCAGCTGCAGTGCAGTGCGCAGACCGAAGCGCCCGTGCCCTCAGATTACTTGGACGTGACTGTGTTAAAAGAGGTAAAAACTACATAAATTCAGTTTGTTTTCTCACACAAACCGCTCGTTTCGTGTCTTAGGCCATCAATGTGTACTTACATTAACGAGTCATTAAATCATGTTTAATTTGGACTTCTCTCTGCATGCTCTTTGAGGTGGTGACCATAGACCTCCATTATATGACTGACAGACAAGAACGGTTTGACCTAAAAATATCAAAATTGAAAATACTGTGGAAACAAAGACACCTACATCTTGGATGCCCTTGAGGTAAGATAAAACATGTCAAAAATTAATTTCAGGGTGAACTATTCCTTTAAGGATGTAGCACTGTCTGATCACTTCTGTATTTTCTTTGATATATTGATCTCTCCTGCCATTGAAGCTGTCTGTGTTTGTCAAGAAGAGATGCTTAAATGAGAACACTGGTGTGCTATTTATGAATCTAAATCTTTAAAACCGAGCATATCCGCCGACTCTGTTGATTCTCTCCTTGATTCTTTTAACTCAAAAGTTAAGAGTGTAATTGATGATATTGCTCCTGTGAAAGTCAGGAAGGATAGTGGTAGACAAACAGCACCTTGGAGAAACTCAACAGCTGTGCACAATATAAAAAACGATGCAGAAGAGCAGAGCGCATGTGGCGGAAGACAAAACTTGTAGGCCTGAGACGAGAGTTCAAGAGATTTCCACGACGCATGAGCGAGAATTGCGTTATTTTTCTACTACTTCTTGCGCAATTCTCGCGCATGCGTCGTGGAAATCTCTTGAACTCTCGTCTCAGGCCCGCAAGGAAGAAAAGGAATAGTCGAATAAAGTCTTTATTTTTGTTTTATTTCCACACAAAAAGTATTCTTGTAACTTATAGTTGAGCCACTGTAGTCACATGGAATATTTAAACATTTTCTTCATTGACTTTCTGGGCCGTCAAGGAGCCTATGTAGCAGTGACCCACCTCTCAAATTTAACCAAAAATATCTTCATTTGTGTTTTCCGAAGATGAACGAAGGTCTTACGGGGTTGGTACAGCATGGGGGTGAGTAATTTATGACTTAATTTTCATGTTTGAGTGAACTATCCCTTTAAGCTCAAAACAGGAACAAATATCTGCCACTGGGTCAGAAAAACAAACTTGATTCAAAGGGAAACAAGATTATTGTTCGGACTCCACTGGCAGATAGGTGTTCTTAATTTTGATTTTTTTTTTTTTAAAACACAAGACTTAATGTTTTCGGTCATTTTGCTTTTATGTATTGTGATTTAAGAATTTTTTGATATTTGTGCTGGAAACAAGATTTTTTGCAGTGTAAAGCCAGCAGAATGAGTGTGTGTTTCCGTCACACACCTCCAGCTTCTTCCAGAAGCATCTGAACAACGCACAGAGAAAGTTAAAAAAAGAGACAGACACTGAATGAAGGACTGATAAGAATCTAACGCTCACCGCGCAGGAAGTGGATCTGCTGTGACGTGTGACACACACACACACACACACACATTTGCCCACCCACCACATTTTCCAGCTTCACAGCAACTTTCCACTCGTTCAGCATGTGTCTTACGTCATGATCTTGGCTTCCTCTATGAAATCATCTTCACTCATGGCTCCTTCCCTGACGGTTTTAATGGCCACTTTATGCTGCGCCCTCCACTTTCCCAGTCGCACCACTCCAAACTGGCCACAGCCCAGCTCCTTCATGAAGGTCAGCTCCGACGGGTTGATCTCCCATTTATCTGCACATCAAGGAGAACTTTCAACATTCAGTCCAAATACCAGATCATTAGGTAAAGATCTGCACACTAAGACAGGAAACATGCAACATGTGTATCTGCGACACTAGGTGTAACTGTGAAAAGGGTCCATAAAGCTGACTATGAGAGTGTCAGAGAGCGGTCACGTGTGTGTGCCGGTAGTCTGACCTGAACTGAACCCTGCTGTCGCCGGCAGGCATTGGCCCTTTGGCCCGATGGGATATCGCAGTCTGGCCACCAGCCCTGATCAAACACAGCAGATCTTCAGCTCCTCGTTGCACCGCAACAAAAGGACAGAATAGAGTCGAGCAGAATTCATGCCAGTACCTGCCGCATTATATTTGTGGTAGTTGATGAGTTCAGGAACAGAGCTGAACACGTGATTCTCTGCCAAGTAAAACTGAGCTGTGTCTGTCTGCTTTATCTGGTAGTGCCTCACCTCGCCTTTACCTGAACTGATCAATCAATCAGTGGATTAATCAGTGGATCAATCATTCAGTCAGTGGATCAGTCAGTGCATTGATGCTTCTTTACCTGTGTGTGTAAACTGACACTGTGTATCCACTGGGCTGAGTGGAGCTTCTGACCACAAACCCTCCGTCCTTCCCCTGAAACTCACACACACACACACGCATGATCATCATGATGATGACGATTGATCAATTATTGATGTTGAATGGATAAGCTTCTTCACCTCTTGTCTTAGTAAATGTTCTGCTTCAGCTCTGTTAACATTCTTGCAGTACCAGCTGATGAAGATAATCATCACACACACACACACACACACACACACAATGACCAGTCAGTGAACTGTTAACTCTGAATGATCTCGGGCCGTATTCACAAAACATTTTATCTTACCCCGAAGAGTTCTCCTAAATAGCAGTAAAAGTTCTTAATTAAGAGTTTTCTCTTAAAACATGTTCACACTGCTGAGTGAGCTGAGGAGCTTGATCCCCTCGATTCCCTTAAACTCCTTGATACCCCTAAACTACTCGATCCCCTAGATCCTCTTAAACTCCTCTAACTCCTCGATCCCCTTAAACTCTTCGATCCCCTTAAACTCCTCGATCCCCTAGATCCCTAGATTCCCTTTAAACTCCTCGATCCCCTTAAACTCCTCAATCCCCTTAAACTCCTCGATCCCCTTAAACTCCTCGATCCCCTTAAACTCCTCAATCCCCTTAAACTCCTCGATCCCCTTAAACTCCTCAATCCCCTTAAACTTCTCGATCCCCTAGATCCCTAGATCCCCTTAAACTCCTCTAACTCCTCGATCCCCTTTAACTCTTCGATCCCCTTAAACTCCTCGAGCCCCTAGATCCCTAGATTCCCTTTAATCTCCTCGATCCCCTTAAACTCATCGATCCCCTTAAACTCCTCAATCCCCTTAAACTCCTCGATCCCCTTAAACTCCTCGATCCCCTAGATCCCTAGATTCCCTTTAATCTCCTCGATCCCCTTAAACTCATCGATCCCCTTAAACTCCTCAATCCCCTTAAACTCCTCGATCCCCTTAAACTCCTCGATCCCCTAGATCCCTAGATTCCCTTTAATCTCCTCGATCCCCTTAAACTCCTCAATCCCCTTAAACTCCTCGATCCCCTTAAACTTCTCAATCCCCTTAAACTCCTCAATCCCCTTAAACTCCTCGATCCCCTTAAACTCCTCAATCCCCTTAAACTCCTCAATCCCCTTAAACTCCTCGATCCCCTTAAACTCCTCAATCCCCTTAAACTCCTCGATCCCCTTAAACTCCTCGATCCCCTTAAACTCCTCAATCCCCTTAAACTCCTCGATCCCCTTAAACTCCTCAATCCCCTTAAACTCCTCGATCCCCTTAAACTCCTCGATCCCCTTAAACTCCTCAATCCCCTTAAACTCCTCAATCCCCTTAAACTCCTCGATCCCCTTAAACTCCTCAATCCCCTTAAACTCCTCAATCCCCTTAAACTCCTCAATCCCCTTAAACTCCTCGATCCCCTTAAACTCCTCGAGCCCCTAGATCCCTAGATTCCCTTTAATCTCCTCGATCCCCTTAAACTCCTCGATCCCCTTAAACTCCTCAATCCCCTTAAACTCCTCGATCCCCTTAAACTCCTCGATCCCCTAGATCCCTAGATTCCCTTTAATCTCCTCGATCCCCTTAAACTCCTCAATCCCCTTAAACTCCTCGATCCCCTTAAACTTCTCAATCCCCTTAAACTCCTCAATCCCCTTAAACTCCTCAATCCCCTTAAACTCCTCGATCCCCTTAAACTCCTCAATCCCCTTAAACTCCTCAATCCCCTTAAACTCCTCGATCCCCTTAAACTCCTCGATCCCCTTAAACTCCTCGATCCCCTTAAACTCCTCAATCCCCTTAAACTCCTCAATCCCCTTAAACTCCTCGATCCCCTTAAACTCCTCGATCCCCTTAAACTCCTCGATCCCCTTAAACTCCTCAATCCCCTTAAACTCCTCAATCCCCTTAAACTCCTCAATCCCCTTAAACTCCTCGATCCCCTTAAACTCCTCGATCCCCTTAAACTCCTCGATCCCCTTAAACTCCTCGATCCCCTTAAACTCCTCAATCCCCTTAAACTCCTCAATCCCCTTAAACTCCTCGATCCCCTTAAACTCCTCGATCCCCTTAAACTCCTCAATCCCCTTAAACTCCTCGATCCCCTTAAACTCCTCGATCCCCTAGATCCCTAGATTCCCTTTAATCTCCTCGATCCCCTTAAACTCCTCGATCCCCTTAAACTCCTCGATCCCCTAGATCCCTAGATTCCCTTTAATCTCCTCGATCCCCTTAAACTCCTCGATCCCCTAGATCCCTAGATTCCCTTTAATCTCCTCGATCCCCTTAAACTCCTCGATCCCCTTAAACTCCTCGATCCCCTAGATCCCTAGATTCCCTTTAATCTCCTCAATCCCCTTAAACTCCTCGATCCCCTTAAACTCCTCGATTCCCTTAAACTCCTCAATCCCCTTAAACTCCTCGATCCCCTTAAACTCCTCGATCCCCTTAAACTCCTCGATCCCCTAGATCCCTAGATTCCCTTTAATCTCCTCGATCCCCTTAAACTCCTCGATCCCCTTAAACTCCTCGATCCCCTTAAACTTCTCGATCCCCTAGATCCCTAGATTCCCTTTAATCTCCTCGATCCCCTTAAACTCCTCGATCCCTTTAATCTCCTCGATCCCCTTAAACTCTTCGATCCCCTTAAACTCCTTGAACCCCTCGATCCCCTCGATGGAGAAGATTTGAATGGGTCGATACTCACTTGTTTGCCTCTATAGATCCTATTTCTGTAACATAGTTACTGGGAATGAAACCCTTGTTCCTGAAAGAGAAATTGAGTCCAAATCAACATGTCTGAACTAAAGAAACTCTCAGACACACACACACACACACACACACACACACAGACCCGTGTCTGTCCTTGGCTCTCCACCACAGCTGGTCTTGTTTGTGAAGGATGATGTATGTTTCTCCACGCTGGAGCGTCAGGTCTGAACTCTCTCTGGCGGTGAAGTCGTACATTGCCACCACCTTCATCACTCCGCTGTCATCATCCTCAGGAGGAGACGGAGGCAGCTTCTTCTGAGACCACTGAGTCTGAAACACCAGAAGACAATCATTACAGAACCAACCAACCGATGGATGAACGACCAGATGCAGGAGTGTGTGTTTACCGTACGGACGGATTCCTCATATCTGTTCATGTCCACGCGAGTGCTGCTACTGAGAGAGAGAGAGAGAGAGAGAGAGAGAGAGAGAGAGAGAGAGAGAGAGAGAGCATTACTTGCTCACACACACACCTTTGAGAAGATGCTCTTTATTCACACTTCTGCAGCGCTGCAAACTCTCACGCTCTCCTCAATCACACGACAAATGTGCGTCTCATTACTTTTAGATTATTTATTTTGTAAACCTTAAGAAGTAAAAGCAGTATATTTCCATTGTGCAAAACAAGCAGTCATGACAGCACTGCAAAAATTCATATTCCTACTTGTTTTTGTTTGTGTTGTTTTCTGACACAATTATCTAACAAACCAAACATATTTATTTAACAAATAAATAATCAAATTCAAAAGAAAAACAAGATGATGTTTAGCCTGTGATTGCTTCCCACATACTGAGGAAGAATATGATTGAACAGGAGATCATGAAGACCAGAAGATTAAAAATAATGGAACATTAAAATATAACAAATTCTTGTTGACCATCAAATGAATGTAAGAAAGTAAATTAATGAATAAATAAACAGCAAATTTTCAAAAAAAGTCAGCATTCTGCACAACATTAAACTTAAGTACTATTGTTAGATTAAATCACAAGTCAATTTTTGCTTCCTGAAAATCTTATAGGAACCTGTGATCAGATCTCACTCATGCAACCCTGCACATGATGTTACTAGAGAAGACTGGCCCTGACCTCCCTGACACCCCTGACCCTGGTACCTCGGACCCCTGACCCCCGACCCGGGTTCATATGACCCTGCTACCTTGGACTCCTGACTCCCGACCCGGGTTCATCTGACCCCTGACCCTGGTACCTCGGACCCCTGACCCTGGTACCTCGGACCCCTGACCCCCGACCCCCGACCCGGGTTCATCTGACCCCTGACCCTGGTACCTCGGACCCCTGACCCCCGGTACCTGGTCTGTAGAGCGCAGCAGCAGCAGCAGAAGAGGGAGTGGATGGACTGATCTGGAGAGAGAGAGACACACAGCTGAAGGGACACGATGGAGGACGACCGGCTGAACCTCGAAACATTATTTTTCTGACCCAGTTGGAAGATATTTCTTCTTGTTTTAGGCTAAAATTTTGATACATTTTCATAAAAAAATACCTTCTTTTCCAGTTAATGTATCTGGATTTAACCCTCTGGTGTTCTTCGTGAGTCGGTCAAAAGTGACCGAATTGTTGTTGTTTTTTTAATTGAATGTACTATATTTTAGTTTGATAATGTTTTTTATTAAATATTTTGTATTTTAGGGGATTTTATGGTACTAAACTATAATTCTGCTGTTTTTATAATCCATTTTTTCCACTTTTTAAGCACAGACCTGAAAATTAAAATTTCAACTGAAACTGTGGTAAATCTTGAATGCTTTAGAGCGACAGACTAAAGTTTGATCTCTTTTCAAAGACGACACTTGTGAGAAAAGTTTTAAAAAGTGAAAGTGAACTTTATGTATTTTATGAATGTTATGTGTATTATGAAAAATGCACAAAAATACTATTTTTAATTTTTATATAAAATGTATATTTTCAAATCATGTTTTACTCTAAAACTGCAAGAAAATCAAAGTCATAAATCTAAACAAGTTGTGTTCGGCGTGTGAGCTGATCTCTCAGTAAATAAGCGCTCGGTGAGTGTGTGTTCGGCTGCAGTACCAAACGCTTCCTCTAGAGGAAACTCTTCATTCCTTTCCAATGCGTCGTTTATGACTATTGCTTTCAGGACCATTTTACCTGTTCAGATTATGTCCACGATGTGTGTGTGTGTGTGTGACGTGTTCATACAGCAAGTGCCAATATCTTTACCAAGTTTCGTAACATTCCAAGGAAGTAAAAAATTCTAAAAAAAAACAATACGTAACATTTTTCGGTCAAACATGACCGAAGCGCATCAAAGGAGATTCGATATTTGTGCTGGAAAGCTAATTGATCAGAAGCTTCTCCATCAGGCGGATCTGTGTGTGAGAGAAGAAGTTTCTCGAGATCAAGCGTGTGAAGCTGCACTGCAATGACCATCTGCTCAAACCACAGTCTTCCTGTCAACACCGAGCTGAGGAGACCAGCGCCCGGACGCCAGCTAACCCACACACACACACTCACACATGTATATTAGTGTGTAATGGTAAATGGTAAAGGCCTGCATTTATATAGCGCTTTCATAGACCCAATGGCCACCAAAGCGCTTTACATTTGCCTCACATTCACCCATTCACACACCGACGGCCATGCAAGGCGCCATCCAGCTCGTCGGGAGCAGCTGGGGTTCGGCGTCTTGCTCATGGACACCTCGATTCTTGGTGGAGGTGTTGAAAAAAAAAAAACATGTTTAAAGCTTGACGTTTTTTGAATGTTCCGAAGACAAAAAATCATAACTTAATGGGAATATTAAATTGTCTTGGAATATATTTTTGTGTGGATTCAAATTTTGTGTGGTCTCTGGTCATTTATGCGTGATTGATTATTTGAAGAAGTTTGAAGACAAGAAGGAAAAGCTTCTAGAGATTCACGAGCAGCCGACGCAGATGTTTTTAATGGGTTACACTTGATTGTACAGTGTCATAGGTACATGGGTCATGTATTACAGCCCTACTGTATACTATATAGGCCTACTACAGTAATAACTATACATTATTCATAATTACATGCAACTAACCCTGAACCTAACCTAATCCCTAACCTGACCCCAACATGTTGTTTAATAATAGTATTCAGTTCTTAAATCTATAATTACACAGTAACGATGACCCTCAGATACAGAGCAGCGTTACCCGAACGCGGAGACTCTCATATCACACACTGAATATACATGTACAGCTGTTCGATCCGTATATGAAATACACATATGACATAAACACACACACACACACACACACACTTTCAGTGCAGCATCATTATTCTGTAATATTATTATTATTATGATGTGAAATGTTGTCGTACTCACTGGACTGAATCATTTTACCGCAGTGAATCTGTCAGCCGTGTCAGCATGGCATGTGTGTGTGTGTGTGTGTGTCAAGTTTGAACATGAGAGTGGAGGAAAGGGTGACGTAGTTCACACACACACACACACACACACACAGTCTTTCCGCTACAGGATGTCACATCATGAAAAAAATGAAAACAATGACACACACACACACACACACACACACACTTCTTCTGGGTAGTCCGTCGTCGGATGAACACCTCTCCTAGTGTGTGTGTGTGTGTGTGTGTGTGTGTGTGTGTATGCGGGACGAGCACGGCTCTCGATGCTCAGTTCTCCTGCACTCGCTCCAGGGGTCCGGCCTCCTCACACACCTCCTCAGCCTCGTCCTGCAAACCAGGAGCCAAGATGGAGTTGGCCGTTCATTATCTCATGAGGAAGGCGTTCATGGCCAGGCCTTCTCAGCGGGTGGAGCTTTAAGGCTGCTCCTGTCCTCCACCACACACACACACACACACACACACACACACACTCTGAGGATGTACAGGAACTGCCTGATAAACAGTAGTGGATCTGTGTGTGAAGGGGTATCGCTGAAGACTCTTCTCCTCAGTCTGTCTCCCGCATGAAGACGCTTGAGCCGCGAGAGCATCTCCATCCAGGTCCAGATAAACACTGAGATAGTGGAGTGGGGAATCATGAAGAGTGAATACTGAGGCTTTTGTTGGGGATCCAATGATCATTAGCAAAGGAAACACACACACACACACACACACTTATGAGATCTAACAACCCTTTACTGCATAATTAGCACATTAATCTAAACAGAATAATATCTGTTCTCCACCAGAACTCGCACAGGAACAGATGTACAGTGTGAAGCGTTTTAACATGAGTGAGTCTCTTCTGCAGCGCCTCTAGTGGCCAGTGGAGGAACTGCAGGTTAACTCGCTCAGTGTTGATTCAAGAGGCAGAGAGGAAGGTTGCAGCTTGGTATCAACCCTAACCCATTACATGTACATTTATTCATTTAGCTGATGCTTTCATCCAAAGCGACTTACAATTGCTATACATGTCAGAGGTCTGGAGCAACTAGGGACACATCAGGGACACATCATCACATTGGTGTCTCACAGTGATTTCTCTCACACCAAAGCCATGTGTCTTACCCACTGCGCCATCACCATCACTACCCCCATTAACCCATTAACCCATAAACCAATTAACCCTGTTAACCATTTAAACCATTAACGCGTTACCCTTTAACTCAGCAACCCTTCCATCGTTTCTTGAAAACGGCCACAGACTCAGTGGGTGAGATTAACTAACATGATCATTTAACAGTTTTTAAACGTATTCACTTACACGTATTTGAGAATGGGAATATCAGTTAGTTGATGACGCTGCTAAAAAGTTTTTGAACATTTTCAATAAAAAGGAAAAATAAAAGCATCCGTGTGTGTGTGTGTGTGTGTGTGTGTGTGTGTGTGTGTGTGTGATGTGACTCGCAGGAGAGCCGGAAACTCGCGCTGGGAATCAGAATATTTTAACTTTTAAAAGTGAAGGATTATTTTATCGTGTCCTCCGTCTGTCCATGAACATTCAACTGTGTGACAAACTGCAGTTCTAATCAATTTAACCTTTTTGCAAATTATAGTATAAAAATGCACACATATTATTATGAATAACATGAATCGTGTAAATTATATCATGTTTTCAATTCCAGACATGAAATGGGATTAAAAAAAATAACGGAAGGAAGCTGAATTGATTGTTCAACAGAAAATGTTATTTATCCTGATTTAGAGTGTGAACCGTTTTCGTCAAGCCAGTTTTCGTCAACAGAACAGTTTTCGTCAAGCCACCAATCACGATCGTTTACATGGCAAATACTTTTTTTCAATTTCAATGATTTAAAAGCTTGAAAGATTTCAGAACAATCCCTGATCGGTCCAGTAGGTGGCGCAGTCGGCACTGTGGGCTCGCAGGCAGTGGAAGGCCGAGAGAGGAAGAAAATGCAGATCTTTAAGAAGCAGAATCACCCACTCACTGTACAAACATGGTTGAGCATCCACTGAAATCGTTTCATGTAACAAACTACGGTAAACAACACACACACACACACACACACACACACACACGAGAACATGTCACGTTATCTATGTGCAAACATCAGTCAACAACAGTTAGACATTAAATACAATTGGCAAGTAAACGACGATGTTCAAAAACAACAAAAAACGGAAGAATCATTTTTCATATATTTCATGTCAACAGGAGCATGAATAATAACAGACTTCTGAACTTCCTTGATTCATGTTTCCTGATCACTAACCGCACACACACACACACACACACACACACACACACACACACACACACACACACACACACACACACACACACACACACACACACACACACACACACACACACTCTCTCTCTCTCTCTCGCGCGCGCACACGCGGAACACTACCCGGAGGTAAGAAATGTTTTAATATTAATTCGTTTATTGGAGCTCGAGTCACTCTGTCGAATAAACCATCGCCTCTGTTTGTGATGATCTTCACTTCACTGGAGTTTGGAAGTGAAAATGAAAGTTCTTTTAGAAATTATTTTGTTTGCGGTCATTCGAGTTTCTGTTCAACAATCAATTAAACAAAACAAACAAAAGGCAGCTTAAGCCGAATGATTATGTTTCTTCATATTACATTTACAGGGTTGTCACACTGTTATTGATTCAGGAACTCGATTTCTCATATCTATATTTAGTGCTGATTTTGAAGAGAGAAGTTAGTGTTCTGTCAAATCTGAAATGAATGTAAATGTGATTTAATTTATTTAATTGAGTGTTTGACCTCTACTGCAATTGTTCTTGATGTGTGTGTGTGTGTGTGTGTGTGTATACACAACAAATGACGGAACCTCAATATCAAGATCACTCAAAGTTCAGCTTCAGATTTAGAGTCTCAGAGCTGTTTTATTCTCCTGTTATGGCCTGAAAGAGACATTTTTACTTCTCTCTTTCAGAATGATTATATTCCGAAGGGGATAAAAATTTGCATCACGATAAGTGTACCGGTATGCTATTTTGGTTGTCAAAACATTTGGTAGCCTAACTACACATACTTTAGTGAGAGCATGTGCAATGATTGGTATAGGCTACTGCTTTTATTATTGCTTTATACAAATTTTACTATTTCAATTTAATTCTTGTGGGTTTACTTGATTTCAATGGATTCATATCAGGTAGCTAATACAGATGTTAATTTTTGCTGTAAACAGAGACAACAGAGAGTCCTGTCAGCTGGAATTATTAAAGGTTAAATTGTATATAGGCTTAAAATAAATATAAACTTTAGGCTGTAATATTTTAATGATATCAGTAAAAAATATAATAAATATGTTGCACCTAGTTAGCAAAATAGCCTACTCATTTATACTAATAGTAAATATATGATAAAATAAAAAAAAATTTCCTAACCAACTTGTGTGCTATGGTTATTAATTGGGTTTCCTGAGGTAAATGTAGCGTTATGTGATTGTAGTCACTCCGGCTGTTTTTAACCTCTTTCCACTGCTGAAAAACACTGATCAGTCGATTACACCCAGATAGCTCGAGTCTATTTAATGTAATGTTTACATCTGGAAGACGTATTTTTAAGAGTTATTAGAAGATGTCTTTAAGATGTAATGATTTGGAATGCATGTTAAACTGACATCTTCTAAACATCTATTTGACATCTGACAGGAAACGTCCTATAGACATATTGCAGATGAGCAAACACTCTTAAAAATATGTCTTCCAGATGTAAACATCACATCAAATAGTTTTGTAGTTTTGTGTAAAATAGAAATACTTTCATACTGTATTTATATTTATACATAATTTATATTATATATATTTTATATATAAATAACACATTTTTCTTAAACATGTGCACACACACATATATTTTGTAAACAGAAACTTTTATTTCGGATGCAATAAATCGCAGCATTTCTCGAGCATGATCCCCATCTGTCCACTAGAGGGCTCTTCTCCAGGAATCTGATTTTCACTGCATTCTGTCTGTGTTTTGGAGCCAGAAAATGAGCCTCAAAGATTGAGGACTGAGACTCCCGTCTGAAAGCTGAACGTTGAGCGATCTCGATCGGGATGTTTGTGCTGAAGCTCTGAGTGATCATCTTCTGTTGCTCTGAGGTTTCGAGTCACACCATGTGCTTGTGTTTCTCAGGTCCATGGCAGCTCTGGGCGTTCAGGTTCCTCAGAGATGAGCTTGACACCCGTCCTGGAGGAAACGTTGATCAAACGTTCTCAGCAGAAGAAGCGAACGTCTCCGCTCAACTATAAAGAGAGGGTGTTTGTGCTCACCAAGAGCAAACTCACGTACTATGAGCTCAGAGCTGAGGTGAGGCTTTACTAATGATATTAACACATGAAAGCCTTCAAAATGTTCTGTTTTTTGGGTTATAAGTGGGAACATCTCATTGTATCATTCTTTAAACGTTACGGGAAGAGATGTACGATATATCGGCCACCATATTGGTATCGGCTGATACATGTTTAGTTTTAATGTTGACGTTATCGGCCTGATAATACCGTAAAACTTCTAATAATAGCCGGATTTTTATTTTTTCCAAATCTTCGAACTGCACGGGCTTGTATTTATACATACAAAAATGTTTTTCGTTGTGTAGGCGTCCTGGAGAATATTTCTGTTCGTCCTAAACACATTATCTATTGTCAATTTAAAACTCAAGAAATCATCACTGATGTCAAATAACATTAATTTTACCCGAACCACTTTTAACGCAAATATGACACACACACGCACACAGCTAGCTACTACCACCATACTTAATCAAACTTGTAACTTTATGACGTTAGGCTGATGCAAAGTTTACAAATGCAAAATTAACGGGCATGCAGACGCAGAGTGTGACGTTCGAGGATAATCTACTGTCACTGGTTATTAGGTGGCCAGTGTTTCACTTTTCCCTCAATATTATTAACAGAATAGAAAGACACCTGGACTCGGTCGAGACCAAAAGCCATATTTGGCAAGACCAGTGGCCGAGACCGAGACAAGTCCGAGTCCGAATACCAGCGAGTCCGAGACCATAGAAAAACGTAGACCAGACTCGGGTACTACAGCCCAGATAGAGGGTTATTGAGGGTTATTGACTGTGATTGAGGGTTATTGACTGTGATTGAGCGTTATTGAGGGTTATTGAGTGTGATTGACTGTGATTGAGGGTTATTGACTGTGATTGAGGGTTATTGAGGGTTATTGAGTGTGATTGACTGTGATTGAGGGTTATTGAGTGAGATTGAGGGTTATTGACTGTGATTGAGGGTTATTGAGTGTGATTGAGGGTTATTGAGTTTGATGGAGGGTTATTGATTGTGATTGAGTGTGATTGACTGTGATTGAGGGTTATTGAGTGAGATTGAGGGTTATTGAGGGTTATTCAGTGTGATTGAGGGTTATTGAGTGTGATTGAGGGTTATTGACTGTGATTGAGGGTTATTGACTGTGATTGAGGGTTATTGAGTGTGATTGACTGTGATTGAGGGTTATTGACTGGGATTGAGGGTTATTGACTGTGATTGAGGGTTATTGAGTGTGATTGACTGTGATTGAGGGTTATTGACTGTGATTGAGGGTTATTGACTGGGATTGAGGGTTATTAAGTGTGATTGAGGGTTATTGAGTGTGATTGGGGGTTATTGAGTGGGATTGAGGGTTATTGAGGGTGATTGAGGGTTATTGACTGTGATTGAGGGTTATTGACTGTGATTGAGGGTTATTGACTGTGATTGACTGTGATTGAGGGTTATTGACTGGGATTGAGGGTTATTGAGTGGGATTGAGGGTTATTGACTGGGATTGAGGGTTATTGAGTGGGATTGAGGGTTATTGCCTGTGATTGAGGGTTATTGACTGGGATTGAGGGTTATTGAGTGGGATTGAGGGTTATTGAGTGAGATTGAGGGTTATTGAGTGTGATTGAGTGTGATTGAGGGTTATTGAGTGTGATTGAGGGTTATTGAGGGTTATTGAGTGTGATTGAGGGTTATTGAGTGTGATTGAGGGTTATTGAGTGTGATTGAGGGTTATTGAGTGTGATTGAGGGTTATTGAGTGTGATTGAGGGTTATTGAGTGTGATTGAGGGTTATTGAGTGTGATTGAGGGTTATTGACTGGTTATTGAGTGTGATTGAGGGTTATTGAGTGTGATTGAGGGTTATTGACTGTGATTGAGGGTTATTGAGTGTGATTGAGGGTTATTGAGGGTTATTGAGTGTGATTGAGGGTTATTGAGTGTGATTGAGGGTTATTGACTGTGATTGACTGTGATTGAGTGTGATTGACTGTGATTGAGGGTTATTGACTGTGATTGAGGGTTATTGAGTGTGATTGACTGTGATTGAGGGTTATTGACTGTGATTGAGGGTTATTGAGTGTGATTGACTGTGATTGAGGGTTATTGACTGGGATTGAGGGTTATTGAGTGAGATTGAGGGTTATTGAGTGGGATTGAGGGTTATTGAGTGTGATTGAGGGTTATTGAGGGTGATTGAGGGTTATTGAGTGAGATTGAGGGTTATTGAGTGTGATTGAGGGTTATTGACTGTGATTGAGGGTTATTGACTGTGATTGACTGTTATTGAGTGTGATTGAATGTGATTGAGGGTTATTGACTGTGATTGAGGGTTATTGAGTGTGATTAACTGGGATTGAGGGTTATTGAGTGTGATTGACTGGGATTGAGGGTTATTGAGGGTTATTGACTGTGATTGAGGGTTATTGACTGTGATTGAGGGTTATTGACTGTGATTGACTGTTATTGAGTGTGATTGAATGTGATTGAGGGTTATTGACTGTGATTGAGGGTTATTGAGTGTGATTAACTGGGATTGAGGGTTATTGAGTGTGATTGACTGGGATTGAGGGTTATTGAGTGTGATTGACTGTGATTGAGGGTTATTGACTGTGATTGAGGGTTATCGACTGTGATTGACTGTTATTGAGTGTGATTGACTGTGATTGAGGGTTATTGACTGTGATTGAGGGTTATTGAGTGTGATTAACTGGGATTGAGGGTTATTGAGTGAGATTGACTGTGATTGAGGGTTATTGACTGTGATTGAGGGTTATTGAGTGTGATTAACTGGGATTGAGGGTTATTGAGTGAGATTGACTGTGATTGAGGGTTATTGACTGTGATTGAGGGTTATCGACTGTGATTGAGGGTTATTGACTGTGATTGACTGTTATTGAGTGTGATTGACTGTGATTGAGGGTTATTGACTGTGATTGAGGGTTATTGAGTGTGATTAACTGGGATTGAGGGTTATTGAGTGAGATTGACTGTGATTGAGGGTTATTGACTGTGATTGAGGGTTATTGAGTGAGATTGACTGTGATTGAGGGTTATTGACTGTGATTGAGTGTGATTGACTGTGATTGAGGGTTATTGACTGTGATTGAGGGTTATTGAGTGAGATTGACTGTGATTGAGGGTTATTGACTGTGATTGAAGGTTATTGAGTGAGATTGACTGTGATTGAGGGTTATTGACTGTGATTGAGTGTGATTGACTGTGATTGAGGGTTATTGACTGTGATTGAGGGTTATTGAGTGAGATTGACTGTGATTGAGGGTTATTGACTGTGATTGAGGGTTATTGAGTGTGATTAACTGGGATTGAGGGTTATTGACTGTGATTGAAGGTTATTGAGTGTGATTGACTGTGATTGAAGGTTATTGAGTGTGATTGACTGTGATTGAGGGTTATTGACTGTGATTGAGTGAGATTGACTGTGATTGAGGGTTGTGTTTTGCAGAAGAGGCTGAAGAAGGGCTCGGTGGATCTGCAGAGGATCAAGTGTGTGGAGATCGTGAAGAACTGCGCCTCCATCATCCCCTGCCAGAATAAATACCCCTTCCAGGTCTTTATTACAACCTCAAAACATCAAAACTGATGCAAACACACACAATAGAGTAGTAGAGTAGAATAGTGTTTCAGAGCAGCTTTACAGAGATAACAGGAGAATAGTGCAACAAAGTTTGTTTCCTGAAGAAAATAGCATCATAGTCAAGCTTCAGTGATGATTCATTCTGTTGTAAAGAAGTTATTAATTTAGTTCATTTATATATAGAGATGAGAAAACATAGTGATGTCATCGTCCAGCTCAATTCAGTTCTCATATAATGGTTCTACATTGGTTCCACGAGGAACCTTTAACATCCACAGAACCACAAACGGTTCTTCAGATCACTAACCTCCAGGAAAAACATTGGTTGTTTTAAACACGAGACACGGACGAGAGTCCGATCACAATCTCTCTCTCGCTTCAGGTCGTCCATGATTCCACCACGCTGTATATTTTCGCTCCCAGTAATGAGAGTCGAAACGTTTGGGTCCAGAACATCAAGGAAGGTCAGTGAGATCCTCATGTGTTTCATTAATCGTGTATGATCTTCATAAGCAACATGTATTTAATGAATGTACTGTAAACTCTCGCATTCACACGACCCAAAACCACTGAAACTACTGAAGAAACAGTCACACTTCCACAGTGAACGCAGAACTGACACACTGTCGAGGAATGAAGAGCCGCAAATAGCAAATATGTCAAAAACAAATCATTTAAAAATACTTTTTTGTCTTTAAACATCATATATGTGGTATATAATCGTTCCAGGGCACCTTCATTTGATTCTCTTTTCACACACACTTTGACGATATAAAGCACCAGCCGGATGAGATTTGTTAAATGCCTTTAGTCAGAATATCTAAGTTGGATCTATGAAGTCATGTAGATGAAGTTAATCGTTCAGTTTGAACTGATATTGAGGATTATGAATCTGTAAAGTTTTGCTTTTAACATTTTAGTATTGTGACAAACATAATTATATGAGTTGATGCGAATCACACGATGATGCGTTTGATATTCAGCTGTGATGTCACTGAAAGCTGTGCTTTAAAGGTGCTGTTTTGTGCCCCTTTTCTCCAGATGTAATATAAATCTCTGTCATCCCCAAAATGTGTGTGTGAAATTTAAGCTCAAATTACCAGATCATTTATGATTGTATGTCAAATTTGCTCCTTTTTGGCTGAGCAAAAACACGTGGTTTTAGGGTGTGAGCTTTAGCTCCGCCTCTGTTCAGAAGAGGGCGGAGCCTTTACACAAGCTACAAATACTCCGGCAATAACAGCACAGGCGCATCTGACTGATCCAGGATCAGGAGTAACAGCAGCTTTAGCTCCGCCTTCCGGAGAGACTCAGCGCTTCACTTTTACATGTTTCTGAATGTTAGCGGAGACGTTTGTGTAGTTGTTGTGGAGTTACACTGATCATCTCATCATCATGTTAAACTCTTCCACAAGTGTCCACAGTTCCTGAGTCAGTGTTTATAAGACAGCGGTGACACGTGTTTATTTACCTGCTTGCAGAGAAAGAATCACCAAAACAGAGTTACTGGGTTTCAGGGTTTCGGGGTTTGGAAGCACCGGGAAAACGATTTTAGTACTTGCTCAAGAGTAAAGTCAGATTTCCATGATATGTCCCCTTTAATGCTCACACATGACCCATCCAGTGCAGACAGCTGTGTGTGTGTGTGTTTTCCTCAGAGATAAGGCACAATCCTCATATCGCAGCCAAGTTCCACCCTCAGTTCTGGCAGGAGGGCGAGTGGCTGTGCTGTGGACAAGTGGATAAACTCGCGCCGGGATGCGAAGGCTACAACCTGTTCGGGGATGGTGAGAGCCACACCCACATCTCAACATCCAATCTCCAACAGAACCAAGCCACGCCCACATTTCAACATCCAATCTCCAACAGAACCAAGCCACGCCCATATCTCAACATCCAATCTCCAACAGAACCAAGCCACACCCACATCTCAACATCCAATCTCCAACAGAACCAAGCCACACCCACATCTCAACATCCAATCTCCAACAGAACCAAGCCACACCCACATCTCAACATCCAATCTCCAACAGAACCAAGCCACACCCACATCTCAACATCCAATCTCCAACAGAACCAAGCCACGCCCATATCTCAACATCCAATCTCCAACAGAACCAAGCCCCGCCCACATCTCAACATCCAATCTCCAACAGAACCAAGCCCTGCCCACATCTCAACATCCAATCTCCAACAGAACCAAGCCCCGCCCACATCTCAACATCCAATCTCCAACAGAATCAAGCCACGCCCACATCTCAACATCCAATCTCCAACAGAACCAAGCCACGCCCACATCTCAACATCCAATCTCCAACAGAACCAAGCCCCGCCCACATCTCAACATCCAATCTCCAACAGAACCAAGCCCCGCCCACATCTCAACATCCAATCTCCAACAGAACCAAGCCCCGCCCACATCTCAACATCCAATCTCCAACAGAACCAAGCCCCGCCCACATCTCAACATCCAATCTCCAACAGAACCAAGCCCCGCCCACATCTCAACATCCAATCTCCAACAGAACCAAACCCCGCCCACATCTCAACATCCAATCTCCAACAGAACCAAGCCCCGCCCACATATCAACATCCAATCTCCAACAGAACCAAGCCCCGCCCACATCTCAACATCCAATCTCCAACAGAACCAAACCCCGCCCACATCTCAACATCCAATCTCCAACAGAACCAAACCCCGCCCACATCTCAACATCCAATCTCCAACAGAACCAAGCCCCGCCCACATCTCAACATCCAATCTCCAACAGAACCAAGCCCCGCCCACATCTCAACATCCAATCTCCAACAGAACCAAGCCCCGCCCACATCTCTACATCCAATCTCCAACAGAACCAAGCCCCGCCCACATCTCAACATCCAATCTCCAACAGAACCAAACCCCGCCCACATCTCAACATCCAATCTCCAACAGAACCAAGCCCCGCCCACATCTCAACATCCAATCTCCAACAGAACCAAGCCCCGCCCACATCTCAACATCCAATCTCCAACAGAACCAAGTCCCGCCCACATCTCAACATCCAATCTCCAACAGAACCAAGCCCCGCCCACATCTCAACATCCAATCTCCAACAGAACCAAACCCCGCCCACATCTCAACATCCAATCTCCAACAGAACCAAACCCCGCCCACATCTCAACATCCAATCTCCAACAGAACCAAGCCCCGCCCACATCTCAACATCCAATCTCCAACAGAACCAAGCCCCGCCCACATCTCAACATCCAATCTCCAACAGAACCAAGCCCCGCCCACATCTCAACATCCAATCTCCAACAGAACCAAGCCCCGCCCACATCTCAACATCCAATCTCCAACAGAACCAAACCCCGCCCACATCTCAACATCCAATCTCCAACAGAACCAAGCCCCGCCCACATCTCAACATCCAATCTCCAACAGAACCAAGCCCCGCCCACATCTCAACATCCAATCTCCAACAGAACCAAGCCCCGCCCACATCTCTACATCCAATCTCCAACAGAACCAAGCCCCGCCCACATCTCAACATCCAATCTCCAACAGAACCAAGCCCCGCCCACATCTCAACATCCAATCTCCAACAGAACCAAGCCCCGCCCACATCTCAACATCCAATCTCCAACAGAACCAAACCCCGCCCACATCTCAACATCCAATCTCCAACAGAACCAAGCCCCGCCCACATCTCAACATCCAATCTCCAACAGAACCAAGCCCCGCCCACATCTCAACATCCAATCTCCAACAGAACCAAACCCCGCCCACATCTCAACATCCAATCTCCAACAGAACCAAACCCCGCCCACATCTCAACATCCAATCTCCAACAGAACCAAGCCCCGCCCACATCTCAACATCCAATCTCCAACAGAACCAAGCCCCGCCCACATCTCAACATCCAATCTCCAACAGAACCAAGCCCCGCCCACATCTCTACATCCAATCTCCAACAGAACCAAGCCCCGCCCACATCTCAACATCCAATCTCCAACAGAACCAAACCCCGCCCACATCTCAACATCCAATCTCCAACAGAACCAAGCCCCGCCCACATCTCAACATCCAATCTCCAACAGAACCAAGCCCCGCCCACATCTCAACATCCAATCTCCAACAGAACCAAGTCCCGCCCACATCTCAACATCCAATCTCCAACAGAACCAAGCCCCGCCCACATCTCAACATCCAATCTCCAACAGAACCAAACCCCGCCCACATCTCAACATCCAATCTCCAACAGAACCAAACCCCGCCCACATCTCAACATCCAATCTCCAACAGAACCAAGCCCCGCCCACATCTCAACATCCAATCTCCAACAGAACCAAGCCCCGCCCACATCTCAACATCCAATCTCCAACAGAACCAAGCCCCGCCCACATCTCAACATCCAATCTCCAACAGAACCAAGCCCCGCCCACATCTCAACATCCAATCTCCAACAGAACCAAACCCCGCCCACATCTCAACATCCAATCTCCAACAGAACCAAGCCCCGCCCACATCTCAACATCCAATCTCCAACAGAACCAAGCCCCGCCCACATCTCAACATCCAATCTCCAACAGAACCAAGCCCCGCCCACATCTCTACATCCAATCTCCAACAGAACCAAGCCCCGCCCACATCTCAACATCCAATCTCCAACAGAACCAAACCCCGCCCACATCTCAACATCCAATCTCCAACAGAACCAAGCCCCGCCCACATCTCAACATCCAATCTCCAACAGAACCAAGCCCCGCCCACATCTCAACATCCAATCTCCAACAGAACCAAGTCCCGCCCACATCTCAACATCCAATCTCCAACAGAACCAAGCCCCGCCCACATCTCAACATCCAATCTCCAACAGAACCAAACCCCGCCCACATCTCAACATCCAATCTCCAACAGAACCAAACCCCGCCCACATCTCAACATCCAATCTCCAACAGAACCAAGCCCCGCCCACATCTCAACATCCAATCTCCAACAGAACCAAGCCCCGCCCACATCTCAACATCCAATCTCCAACAGAACCAAGCCCCGCCCACATCTCAACATCCAATCTCCAACAGAACCAAGCCCCGCCCACATCTCAACATCCAATCTCCAACAGAACCAAACCCCGCCCACATCTCAACATCCAATCTCCAACAGAACCAAGCCCCGCCCACATCTCAACATCCAATCTCCAACAGAACCAAGCCCCGCCCACATCTCAACATCCAATCTCCAACAGAACCAAGTCCCGCCCACATCTCAACATCCAATCTCCAACAGAACCAAGCCCCGCCCACATCTCAACATCCAATCTCCAACAGAACCAAACCCCGCCCACATCTCAACATCCAATCTTCAACAGAACCAAACCCCGCCCACATCTCAACATCCAATCTCCAACAGAACCAAGCCCCGCCCACATCTCAACATCCAATCTCCAACAGAACCAAGCCCCGCCCACATCTCAACATCCAATCTCCAACAGAACCAAGCCCCGCCCACATCTCAACATCCAATCTCCAACAGAACCAAGCCCCGCCCACATCTCAACATCCAATCTCCAACAGAACCAAACCCCGCCCACATCTCAACATCCAATCTCCAACAGAACCAAGCCCCGCCCACATCTCAACATCCAATCTCCAACAGAACCAAGCCCCGTCCACATCTCAACATCCAATCTCCAACAGAACCAAGTCCCGCCCACATCTCAACATCCAATCTCCAACAGAACCAAGTCCCGCCCTGTATTTGATCATACCTTTCACTCCGATATGTCACATTACGAAACAAACGATCTGTCTCTAGGTCAGGGGTTCTCAAACATTTTGGTGCCAGGGACCCCTTTCAGGGGAAAAAAAATTCCAAGGACCCCCCTCATATTTATAACAGTTATTGAGCACAAAGTTAATGTGTGAGCGGCAAATGAAATATTTTTGCACAAAATGAATGGTCTCCACCCAGGGTACTATGCAGGAATTTCTAAATAGCCTACTGAGGTAACGAAAGTGATCTTGCTAGGAATCACTTAGGATCCCTCACTTAGGAATTTTTGATGTTCTTGATCTACACATGTGCATTTTAAGGTGTTTTAAGGCCCCACAATTGGATAACTATAGATTTAGTAGAAGCATGTCAGTCAGTGGCATACTTTTCTTTTTTTCTTTTTTGTCAAGATGTCACGAAACACAATCACATATTCCAATCAGGAATGGCCTTAAAAGAGAAATGTTTCAATAATTAGGCCTATTCTGCACACAAATAAAGCCCATAAGCCTATGAATACAATGATAATGGCATTATGTTTAATAGGTGCGTGCGTTGTTAACTTGAGCTACTGTAATTAGCTAAAAAAAAACATACAGTATATGTTAAATATATGAATCCATATCTCATGGGCACAGTATGTTTCTATTGATCTGCTTTTTCCTTTGTTAAAGTTGAGCATGATTAATACTTTGCAAACTGATTGTTTCAGTCGTTTTTTAAAACTTTTCTCTAAAACAGCTGTTTAGTTTGTTAAAGGGTTAGTTCACCCAAAAATGAAAATTAAGTCATTAATTACTCACCCCCATGCTGTACCAACCCCGTAAGACCTTCGTTCGTCTTCGGAACACAAATGAAGATATTTTTGATTAAATTTGAGAGCTGTATAACTACCACATTGGCTCCTAAAGGACTGCCTCTTGACGGCCCAGAAAGTCAATGAAGAAAATGTTTAAATATCCCAAGTGACTACCGTGGCTCAACTATATGTTTATCAAGCGACGCGATACTTTTTGTGCGAAAAAACAAACAAAAATAACGAGTTTATTCGACTATTTTTTTCTTCCTTGTAGGCCAGAACGAGACTTCCTTAGATTTCCACGACGCATGCGCGAGATTTGCGATCTGCTCACACCAGCTTCACTACTTCAGATCGCAATTCTCGCGCATGCGTCGTGGAAATCTATAAGGAAGTCTCGTTCTGGCCTACAAGGAAGAAAAGAAATAGTCGAATAAACTCGTTATTTTTGTTTGTTTTTTCGCACAAAAAGTATTCGCGTCGCTTGATAAACATATAGTTGAGCCACGGTAGTCACTTGGGATATTTAAACATTTTCTTCATTGACTTTCTGGGCCGTCAAGAGGCAGTCCCTTAGGAGCCAATGTGGTAGTTATACAGCTCTCAAATTTAATCAAAAATATCTTCATTTGTGTTCCGAAGACGAACGAAGGTCTTACGGGGTTGGTACAGCATGGGGGTGAGTAATTAATGACTTAATTTTCATTTTTGGGTGAACTAACCCTTTAATTAAGGCCTACATCTTATCTCGCACTTTATGACCGTTGACTGAAACGTCGTGCGGGGAACTTTGAGTTCACTCCGACTCAAACATTTTGACATTGACGAGCTATCGTTGTTAGTCTGCTGAAGCACCTCAGACGAGAAGGTCAGTATCATCGCGATGTGCATCCTTGCAACCTCAGTTGTGGGTACGGCCCTGTCACTATGCACTTTTATTTTGATAATGATCAGACTTCTAATGTCAAATCTACAGTAGCAGTGCTAGAACTGACTATTGTGCGCGCACGCGAGACGCCGGCGCGCAATTACATGGGAATTTTTCCTCAGCAGTGGAAACAGGAATACTCTTATTTATGGTCATAGATAAGACAAGAGTGCATCATCCGAAACGGTAAAGTGTCCATTTTTTATTTGTGTATAGGCTACATTATAAATGACTACAAAATGTCATGCCTTTTAAAAATACAGAAAAGAACCGGATGCGGGTTCATGCCGTCTCTCTGTCTCCTTTCTGGCGCACATCCCGCAAAATCAACAGCAGCGAATAGTCTACTTGACGCAAAGACATAGATTATCTATCTATAGAAAACTTTAAGTGTCTACTTTGTATTGTTTTATGTTAAATGCTTTATATAAGTTACCTTAGGAATAAACAGCATGTTTTCAGATGATAAAGAAAACATGACTCATAGCATGGAAAAAAACGTTAGGTTGTAAATTATTTCGCGGACCCCCTGGCTTTAGCTCGCGGACCACCAGGGGTCCGCGGACCCCACTTTGAGAACCACTGCTCTAGATGATGCGACTGTTCATGCCTGACGAAGGTTGTGAGACCGAAACGTTGCTAAGAACATGTTGACACTCATTTGCAAGTATTGATATGACAGAACATGTTATATTTCTAGCAGTTCAAAGCCCTCATGTTGAACAGTCGCATCTGAAGGGAATAACACTTCATTTATCAGCTTTAATATATCAGGCAAATTTTATTGTTGGGCCGATAACGACAACATGAAAACTGAACGTGTATCAGCCGAGCCCGATACGGTGGCCGATATAGATCTTGCATCTCTAATGAAGGCCTCACACTCATTCAGCCTCTCATGAAGTATTTGTCGTTGTGATGTGTGACGTTTGCGTCATTGATTGTGTTGTTTTCCTGTACTGTAGAAATAACTCGAGTGTTTCTCTCCCAGTTTCCCGTAAACCTCTCCCTCCGGTTCCTGGAGACGACAGCGGCGGCTCAGCGGTGAGTTACCCTCGTCTCCACATCCGAGTGCTTTACCGTTCCTGCGTCTCGTGTGTGTGTGTGTGTCATCAGTGTTTTCTCCACAGGCTCGCCGGCCGCCCCCGCCTCCCCCACAGGCACAGGAAGAGGCGGGGCCTGCACAGGAAGTGGTCATCGCGCTGTACGACTTCAAAGGGCTGGAGCCTCACGATTTGACGCTGAAGACGGGTGAAGAGTACGTGATCCTGGAGAAGTGTGACGTCAACTGGTACAAGGCCCGAAACACACACGGGTGCGTCTCAGACATCTTTCCCTGAAGTGTGTTCAGGTCGAATATCAGCCGCCTTTTAAATCGCTTATAAATCTCTGCTTGACACGCTGACTAACAGATTGAATATTTGGTGATAACACAGCATTTAGCCCCCAATATTCAGTCTGTTGGTCAGTCTGCGCAGGATTGGTCTGTGTGTGTGCAGTTGGCTGATCGCAGGTCAGTCTCCTCAGTGTTAGAATAGTCCACTAAAGCTCATTCTCCAGACAACAAGGCAAGTTCACAATCAACTGAGTTTTTGCTTAATTCAAATGGAAACATTTTTTTTACACCATTGGCAGATCATTTTGCTTGTTTTAAGCATCAACTCTATTAATTTTGGTTAATTTTCTCGGAAAACATAATATCTTATGTCATTTTACTGCTTTCGTAAATGCAGTAAAATTTGGGTATTTGAGCTAAAAAAACAAGACAAAAATACTGAGAAAGAAAAGCACTTTTTTGCACTGAATCCGATATGTGGTGATAATAAAGCGTAAAGAGAGGTTTAGATGGACACTAAAGGATCACCACAGGTCTAATGTGTGTGTATCTCAGTGGCGTTTGCCGTCATCATCATTAGAATCTGCACAGTATTTGCCCTGAAGAGTCAGACAGTGTGACTTTCATTGAAAAATGTGTTTTGAGCTCTTCCTGTAATGACGGATCTTTCCCAGCACGCGTATTACGATGCATTCGAATGAAACCCAGTTTGAGATTATATAGTTATTGTTATTGTGTGTGTGTGTGTGTGTTGTTGCAGAGACGAGGGCTACATCCCAAGCAACTACGTGACGGAGAAGGAGTCCGACACACTGGAGCAGTTCATGTGAGTCACAGCAC